ATAGTCAAAGCAAAAAACATAAAAATTGTCCTACACTCAAAAAATTCTTTCTTTTATCTGTTTTATGACGATTAAATTTTAAGAATATCAAGCAAGAACTTTATATACGTACTCTGCAATAAGTAATGCTCGCCCGTAAAAATGGGACATTGTATTCATTTATCGTACAGGTATTAGGTTTTTTTGTTTTTAAGTATCAATTTTATAATATTATATTTTTTATTTTTATCTTTAATCTGTGTATTCACTATAGAAAGCTCATACGGCATTGAGTCTGGCTTTAGCCTAAGCCTAACCCGCATAGTTATGCATGATATGATTTGTACCGGTCAAGTAACATTAGTACACACTAACACCACAACAATCTACAATTTGAGTAACGTCCGTTAGTGTGTTCCAAAATGTACAGGCTCACTAGGCTATGGAACGTTTTTCTGATGTCTGACCTTTAAATCCATTTATTAACTGTCGAAAGTAAGTAGGTCGTCCTGTTACTTGTTAGGTATCTACGATTTAAGTATCATTTGTGATCAGAGGTGGGTATATTATAAAACGATTAACGTCAATACTTTATTAAAGTGTCAAACTGTACTCATATATCTCAAATTTCGTTACTCCTTATACCAAAATGTTTGTACCTACCTATTTTATTGATTTTGTCATTATAGTACTATCTAGTTAAGTGCATAAGACTTTTTTAAAGAATACTGAAAATAGTTTTAATAATACGTTTTGATAGGTAAGTAACTTTTTTTTTTTATATAGAACTTGTATTTAACTAACGTTGTGTCAAAGTGTAAGAACGTTACACTTCAATTAATTGTTAGAATATAATTTATGATTTTTTAACAGGCCTTCGTCTCTCCATCCTCCCACCACATGATGAATAAAAAAATGACTTGTATATAAATATTAATTATACACGATTAAATGTATATTATTTTTGAGAATAACTTCTTTGCCTACACTTAGTAAAGAATTTTGGGTAGCAAGGCCATAATAAAGGAGAAGCGATTGGGCGTTTACCTCAGGCGCGAATGCAATGGAGGCGCTAACCTTGAAAAAATTTTTAAATAAAAATATTGGTCTACCATATTCTCAGATAGCATTTCAAAATGTCTTGCTTAAAAAAAAATTATTTTACTATTATTATTCAATTCCCCAAATTATAAGTTTAATGCATGTTAGGTATCTAGTGCGTTTAATAATTATATTCTTCTACTGTTATTATTGTTGTAAAGTTTTTATACGGTAATCTAAATATTGCATAACGCATTGAACGAAATTATCGTAACGGCGTTAAATTTATTATTATGCAATCAGTAGTGCCTAATGTCTATTAATACCTATGCGATAAACATTTTTTCAGCAAATCCCAACATGTGCCATCAGTCGTCACTCGTCATTCGTCAGTCCTTATCTGCTCACTGCTCGGTGCTCACCCCTAGGTAGTAGTTACCCGTCAACCAGTAGGTACACGCTGTACACAACACACTTGCACAGTTACATAATACACACTAAACATTAAACAAATTTATAATATTCATATATTATAAATTCCACCGATTTATAGGATGTCGATTTTTGGATTGAATTTAAAACGTGTGAATTCCACCAGTACGTATTTTTTTACCTAAAACAAGAAAATGTAAATTCAACCAATACCTACGTATTTTTGACCTGAAAACGTGTTAATTCCACCGATAGTAAAATAAGTAACTATTAACTAGTAATCATTATTAAATATTAATTATCATATATTTCTTTTAAATTTGTGTAAAAAAAAAAAAAAAATGATATAAGTATTTAAATATTATACCATGTATAAATAAAAAATCTGTACATAAGTTATGTACCTATTAACTACTGTAACTTATTATTATTATTACTTACTATTTTATTGTTATTGCGTGTTAATAATTTTATATCGTACCTATACTGTAATACTAATTAATTTATCACAAATGTAAATGGGTAAATCCCAAATATTTAAATAAAAATAAAAATTTAGCAGTAGAATTTACAATTTTTTTTCAGGTAAAAAAACAAACTGGTGAAATTTACATGAAAAAATGTCTCGATTGGTGGAATTTACATGCGCCCTATGGCCTATACGGCCCTATACCACCTGCCCATCACTCATTGTGATATTGTCGTTGTCTGCGCTTCCCTCCAATAATTCAACTACCTATAACACTACGACAATTACGGACGACGGATAAATAATTCAATAAATATTTGGTTAGTAGCTGTGTAATTGATTATTCTGTTATGCACTTAGTAACTGGTTAATAAAATTGTATTGAAACAATAACACATTTACGAGTATACGAAAACTTGTAGAACGTGGACAAAACTGTCGATATACCTATCCTATATTTGCGTGCAAAATAGAAATATCGCTACAATCTGTAATTTTAATATATTTTTTAACCTAATACAACTTTTAAGTTTTAATTATTTATTTTTTAATGCACGTTTTAACCATTTGTATGACATTATATGACGGGTAGGTACGAATTTAACGTATTTTGATAAAAAATCCGTGTTCTATAAATAACATTAAATATACAGTGACAAAGTGTAAATGAATAAATATAAAGTATTACAACTATTATTTTAGTTTTATATTTTTACTTAACAATGACCAGTCGGCAGTCAATACTTCTGGGTCTGTTCTTTTATTTTTAAATTGATTTTGCTTTCGAACTTGGTACTTAAATTTTGTTTGACTTCTATGGTTTAGAAATCGAGTAATCATGTCTGAAACGTTAAAGAATTAAAATAGTGGAGCTCGATATTTCAAGAATAAATAAAAAATGAAAGTTAAAAACAAGAAGTTAGCAAACACTTTTGAAAAGTGGTTTTTAACAACTATAAAGGGGCCTTTTTGTTCATCATTCTGGTGATTCTGTGGAAACCCGTACCTAACAATCTTGTTAATGCACCAGCAATTCATGAGTCTCCGGATATTCCTCTAAAAAGTTAAATAACCCACTAACCCAAAACTGTTGGATGATAGGTATGACCATGAAAAAAAACACTAAACCAGGTTATTCAAAATTATTGAAATTAACTACAATATCTTGTAAAAAAAATAAAATATCACGAAACCATCAAACAATTAACATTTGAAATCAACTATAAGGGCTAAGAGAGACTTTCAAACTTGGCTATTTTATCTTTGAAAAATTAAGTTTCTGGAGCAATTTATTTTGAAGACATCTATATATTTGAGGTAAAAAAAGACCAATAATTATGAAACTAAAAAACTTAGCTTGTTATTTATATAATACTTTCATTTAAGACTATCTCAATTTTTTTTTTTTGTATGTCAATAAAAATTCATTTTAAAATAGATACTTGTAAGTTCATGCTTTCTGATAAACAAAAAATAATAGTTTAAAATTTTGTGATGAGAACTTTTTTGACAGTAGAAGGGAAGGCACAAATACTCAATATTGGCCTCGGGCACCAGAACTTCTTACAGTTCTGTTAGATAGCATCATGTAATAAAATTGTTTTATTGATAAAACGATAACAAATAAAATCATGATATTTTTGAAATATTAAAGTTATAATTCACTAAGATTCCTAACTTATTTTTTTTTTTTTTTGATTAACTAAAATAAATAACAGCAAACAATTGTTAAGAATATTATAAGTTTATTTTAATGTAATATATCACAAATATAATTATTAATTTATGTTTATATAATAATATAACATGTTTAGATATAAAATTATTGTAATGTTTATTAAATACTGTATAAATATTTGGAATAATTTTATAATACAAATATTGTTTAGTTTAAAATGTTAACATTCAAAATATTGAATGATTTAAAATATATTCACAATTATTACAATATATTTTTAATTTAAATCAAAGTTAATTTTTGTGTGTATAAAATATTTGCGAGCAATATTTATAAATCATTCGAATAATACAAATAGCCTCAGGTATATTTTTTGGTGTAATTAATTTATAAATTACAATTAGGCGATTTGTTATAGTTTTATACTATTACTACATTTTGTATTTAATGGTTTATATATTTCATAAAATCATACCGAGTTAAAAATCAAAACTAAAAAGTTGAAATATTTATTCTAGAATTTAATTCGGTATATAAGAATGAAATCCAATATTTTACGATAACAAATGTTGAATTAAAAATGCTAATCATATTTTCAAATAACTTGCAAGTAAAATAAATTCTAGTACAACAGGGAATATATACTTGAATAGCGATTATTATTATTTTTTTTTAAATTAAAAGCTGAACATCTAATAAATTATGTTTAGTACATTTTAACGGAATAAAGTACTAAAATTAATCAATTTTTAAAATAAGTTTTATCAAATTTGTCTTGATAATCTTAACTAATTTGATAACAAAACCTTAATAATTATATTTGTTTAGAAGTATATGGACCTCCATGCATTTAAAAACAGTTAAGTATTTAAACTATTAATCATACACATTAAGAATGAAAAATATTTTTTTTATCGATGTAAGATTTAATGATGTAAAAATAATTAAGGTTAACACAAATTAACTGATTTTAACAGCTATACTTGGCATAGTTAAAAATGTATTGAAAAACCGTCAACAGATTGAATCAATATAAAAGAAAATGTTATTAGTTTAATTAAAATAAAAGAAGATATATAAGTAATAAAAAATTCTTAGAAATTAATAAACATATTTGAAATTCATCCATTGCATAACAAGTTTTTAATAACCATAAATTGAAATGTACAAAAGCATGAACTCCAATACCTTATTCATGAAAACAATAAAAAATATTTTAACTTGAACGTCATTTGTCTTATCTATTATTTTAAAAATTAGGTACCATACCCTTTAACAAAAATTAAAAAACAAAAAAAAAAAGGAAACTTAATTTATCCATACAAACTCACTACCTTATTACAATAATAGTTGAACAATTTTTGTAAATAATTAAATTACTAAAGTAGTACTTTATGTAAATCAATATATATATTTTTATTTTGTTTTGGTATATTAAATATTAAAAAAAAAAATTGAAACAAAATACATCTAGTGACTATTAAATATGTCGATTGAGAAAATTGTATTAATCATTCTTTTTATCATTTTCAGGTTTCTCATTTTCAATTGATTGAGGTTTTTCTTCAATAGCTTGTGACTGTTCTTCAACTGGCTCAGCAGCATATCCAAATTCATTTACTCTAGTTGGATCTACCCTATATATCCATCTTTGGTACAAAAATATGAAAAATACAACATCTAAAAAAAAAAATATATACATATTTATATATTTAAATATTTATTTAATGACCTATATATATAAAGGGCAAGCAAGCAGCTAGAGTACAATGGATAATATTAAATGCACACAATTTTATTTAAGAAATATATGCAAAAAAATATTAATAAACCTATAAAACATTCATAGTTAAACAATTTTATATTTCACTTTATTCTTAATAATCAAATCAAAGTTAAATAAATAATTAAAAAATTTTTTAATAGAATAAGGAACTACATAAAACAACATTTTTTTTACTTGAGATTTAGTATAAAATCTACAGAATTGCAAATTTTTATTTTTAATCCATTAAATTATATAATTTGAAATAAATCTTTTGTCAATATAAACAATATCCATAAAGAAATATTAATAAAATTACATCTAGATTTCAATGATACCACATTTAACTTTGATAATATGATGAAATCCAAATTCATTTTAGATACTAAGAGAACTAATAATACTTTGCTCAATTTTATCTTTTAATCTTAGCAGTTTGAGTTACCAAATAACTGATCAAAATTCAAATATAGATCAAATAAGAATAAAGAAATAGAAAAAGTTAATAAATCTAAATTATTATTTTTAATTTAAAAGATAATAATGTAATGGTTTGTTAAATTATCCAGTGGTAAGATACATATGTATGTGTATATGTATAATATAGAAGTATATAATATCAGTAGTTGCAAAACCTACATATGTTGATTTATCCTAAAAACATACAACATAACAAATGTTCTAATTTTGTGCTATTTTTAATATTAGAGTATACTAACCTACTATACAATTTAAAAGTAATAAAATATCTTTTTTTATCTTTAATTTTGATGATAAAATCTAATATAGAATTAGAACTCCTACGTTTGCATGTATTTACTAAATATAGCCACATGAAACTGAATAAATACAAAAAAAAAAAAATGAGTCCTTGACAGATCAAGAGAAGACATTGGAACACAGAGTAAAATAGTTATAGTTAGTACAAATTTAAATTAAGTATTAGCTTGTAATTAAAGGACTAATGCATAAATGAATAAAGATAACCAGTTCAATAATGACATTGTATCACCATGGACTCATTAATTAAACTAATCAAATCAAAAAACTTGGGAGATAACATAAATATGAGTGTTGTTTAGCTGGGGATGAACATACTACAATAGTTTCTTCTGGAATTTTACTTACCATCTCTAAAACAACCCAAACGGTACATTGTTGGCATTTTAATAACAAATGCAAATATATCATCAATGAATGTATTTAAACATTTATAAGACATCATTCTCCAAGGAAGATGTGCCACTGACTTGAGCTTATAGTTAATGAACAATTGTGGAGTCATTGTAATGAAACCTACATAAGTATTGTAGAAAAATATATTATTAGATATCAAATATAAAAATAATGTATATTTATCAAATTAAAAAGGCCAAATTTTCTTTATTTTGAATAAAACAAATAATGCTTACCAAACATTAGTAGAAAACCATACAACATATTAAGTACCCAAGAATACCATCCTTTGTGTTCTTCATAGACAAGTGAATAAATTGCATATGCAGCAAGGAGAGGAAATAGAACCCATGATAAATATTTAAATGCCAATCGATCATATTCCTTTGTGCTAGATTCAGCATAGGACCCCTTTTCTTTAAATATCAATTTTGGAATAATGCCTAAATACCGTGTTTGCCGATCAAGACTAATGTCTAACACCTAAAACATAAAAATATAATAAAGATAGTTATTAATTTAAATATGAAATATTCATCTTAATTATTTTACCTTATTGATTTTCCAACATTCAATACCCAACCCAACAAAACAACTGATGCGAATAATTGTGTTTGTATCATTATCAAGGACATACAATAACACAACAACAGATTGAAAAACGTTAAAAAATACTGCGCGTACAGATAACCCTTCTAAAGATTTACGTTCCTTCCAAAATTGAATATCAGTAAAATAAAAATTTTAAACTTAATTTATTTAAAATACATTGTTTATCTACAGTAAATACCAGTGGTAAAGAGTGAATAAGCTATAAAAAAAAATTAGAAAAATTTTCTAACACAACTACGGCTGATATAGAGGATTGGTATTTTATATATAATTTGAATTTAACCCAAAAAGCCTTCCCCCACAATTTATAAAAGTGGAACACATGCACAAACACCCCTCCCCAACACTTATTTGAGAATAATAATAGAATAAGTGAATAATTGGAAACAAATAATACAATTAAATATTCATTAGATAAAACAAAAATATTTATGACAATTATACCAAATTTATCATTTTAAAATTGTTTATAATTATTTTTATTTTCAAATTTATAGGTAGATATTTTCTCCATCTCCATACCTCTTAGACAGTATTTTTTTTTCAATGTTAAATACAACAGTTATCAAGGAATTATATATCACAATTACTCTAACATATATTATTAGTTTTTATATAAATTAATTACCATTTTTTGAAAGCTAATAACTCAAAAACACTGTGTAATATTGATACAATGATTGTAGCTGCCAAAATATATGGAGAAGTCTCTAACAATGCTTCTTTTAATGAATCTTGATCTTGATCATCTTCATTTGCATCTGATGCAAAAGTATCACCTAAAAATCCAGCAGTCCATTTGTTTCGCATAGTCTGAGCCGAATACATTTGCCATTTAAATAATGACAATGGTTGGAATGTTAGTGTTAAATCCAAATTGCTGCAACATTAATAAACATAACTTTTAATTTGAAATTAATTAAAAAATACTGTTATTTACTTCACAGTTTTATTAATTGGTTGATAGTCTCTAAGCATATTCCAAAAATCATTGAAAAATACCATTGGTTTATATCGATTGTGTGGTAAGAATTCTAGATCTATATATTAAATAATAAAAATTAAATACTGATATTTAATAGGTAAAATCAATTATAGTATGCTTCACAAAAACGTGCGGATAACCACCGCGCGCCTAGTGGCCATTTCTCGTTGCAGGTGACCAAAATGCTTCACGCCAAATAAAAAATTTAAAACTCGTATATTATCTGTCGTGCCAGCGGCACGCACTTGTGATGGATCAAATATTGAGGCCCATTGATTTTTAGAAAAATCGACACATGGCGCACTGCGGTCATCTGCACATTTTTGTAACGTGTACTTTAATTACATGTTAACTTACATTCAGAAAATGGTTCAGGGAGAGATCCTTTAGTCCAATTGGTTTGATCAGTTACTAAACAAATTGTCAAATTTGGATGCCAATGTGATATTATTTCAGTCTCAAATTTTTCAGCTTTCTAAAACATGGAAAATTAGGTTAACAAAACTACTTTGTAATATTTGTTTTTTTCTGTCTTTAGAACAGCAAAAAATTTATATATCATTAAAAAATTAACACATTTTAAGTCATTTTACTTACTTCGATTTGTTCTGGAGTCGCAGATGTTTCACCAGTAAGTAAGTTATGAGTTTTTAAGAATTTAACTTTTTTAAACTTATTTAATTGTTTGGATGCATGAACAACGTAAGGGTCATTTTTACTTATATTTGAATTTGTCTTTTTAATGAAATATACATGTAAATAAATTGACCCATTATTTTGCAAATGCTAAAAAATAAAATAATTACATTAATATAACCCAATTTACCAAACTTATTATATCATATAGGTATCAGTTACCGGCGATGGAACAAAAGATTTTTGGATAGTGTAAGTACCATCATTATTAGGTCCAGAAGTCCAGTCTCCATATTCTAAATCTGTTTTTTTCCAGATAAGTTCATTATCGTCTATTGTATTCTTAAGACTATCTTCTGATAAATAAACATACATATCCTGAAAAATATATTTTTATTAGTTCGATCTTTTAATACAAATAGTTTTTAAATAAATAAAAATCATGAAATACGTACAAATTTAGTACCAAACTCAAAAAAATTGACGTTTGGAATGGAATCAGCAACTGGAGTAACGCCATCAGGAGGTACAGTGGATGGCTTTTTAAACATTGATGTAATGAAATAGATAATTAATGATCTAACAATTAACGTTTTCACAACTCCAAAGAACATATTGAACCGTCCTTGTTGGGGTTGTGGCTGTTCACCTTGCGCTGGTTCCACATTACCAGCCTTCAACAATACAATAAGTATTAAGTTTTATGAATCAAATTAATTTAAATTGTTTATCATTTACTATAAGAAATAACAATACATTTTCAATTCATAAAGCAAACAAATAGCATAATATTATGTTAAACCACTTAAATACTCATATTTTAAACTAAATTAATATTCTATTTTTATTTTATAATAATATGTAGTAATGTATTCATGCAAATTTAAAAATGAAATTTTTTTTACATGAATTAAAAAGAATTATTAGGAGAATTTCAAAACACTGTTTATATTTTTTTTCAAATCTATGCATGATATAACAAATTAACATTCAGTAGAACCAACCTTATATTGTTAGTTTTAGAATTAAGAATGAATTGGTCTATTACAAAACTTTAACACTAAAATTAAGAATATTATTTATGCTTATACATTTGAATTTTTGTAATACTTAAATTTTTATGCAAGTTGTTATTAGTACAATAGTATGCAAAATTATATAATATAAAAATGCTCATAATATCTTGCTTTAAAATTTAAATATCTTAAAAAACCAACACAAGTACACAGATATTGTTCCTAATTTTAAGTTTAATAATAGGTCAATCGTTATAATACTAAAGTTAACAGTACAAAGTTGATTTTGATGAACATAAATTTGCTTAGTTAAAAAAACAAATACCTAGTGCATTGACATCCTCTTAATGGAATTATAACACTCATACAGACATAGCAACACTATTACCATGTTTTAAGTAATTATATAAACAAATACTTTTAACTATTTTAAGTATATATTATCAACTTTTATTATTAAGAATTTGAAAAACTATAGTTTTATAAAAAAAACTGAAGACTAACTACAGTATAATAGGATCCTGGAGACAAGTGTATCTTGTCATTGAATAAATCATTATTACAATTTACAGTTATTATATACAAAAAAATTCTCAATAAAGACTTGAGATTAATTTTTAAAAGATGTTTTAAGGTAAATTTTTTTTAAAACAAAAATAGTATATTTTATAACTTAAATAATTACAATAGATATTATTTCATAAAAAATAGATGATTTGAAAATGGCTTACAATTATTCTAAATAATTTGAACATTAAACTGAGAAATTTTTAGTTAATGATATATGTAATGGCAAAAAGTAGGTTATTTTTGAATTTCATAAATATATTTTTTTTTTTAATATGACTTTATTTTAGGATATTGCAATCTATATAGGTGTACAATAAGTAATCACAAATAATTAAAATTATATTTTTGTTGAAAATTACAAACTTGTATAAATGTCACATTAAAAAAACTAAATATTTTTAAATTAATATAGTCAAAAAAATGTTATTATAAATATTTAAAAAAAATGTAATCACAGAAATTCTACACCTTAAATTTCATTATTATTATTATTATTAAATAATTAAAAATTAGATTACTTATGAGCTATGACAGTGATGAATATTTTATATAGGATAATTATTAAACAGGTATTTGGTATATACATTACAAAATTATATTTTATACTATTTTACTCTTTTAGATTAAAAAAAAAGAGAACAATGTACTTCTTATTGAATTGATTAATAATATCTATTTAATAAGCCATATTTTATATTTAAATCAGTTTTATCATATCATTTAAATGTTATCAACATTTTTTTTTTTTTAATATTCTGTAGCTGTAAGATTAAGGTTTATTACATTTCAGAAATTCTAGGCGATAAAATAGCATTACTTTAACTAGATAGGTATCTATAAAAATAATAAGCTAAACAAAGATTTGATAAATTCATTAATTGGGCCTAACTATTAGATAAAAATAATTTTATTTTGCGTTCTTTTAATAATTCAAATAAACAAACGCAAACACGACACCAGTGTACCAAGAGTTAATTAAAACATCTAGACAGGTAGTTTATTGATGTGCTCATTGAGAGCGTACTGCGGAATAAACACGTCTCGGAAAACCAAAAAACCGATTATAAGGCGTTGGCCCGCACGCGGTGCACCCGTCGAACGTTCGAAAACCGAGCTTCAGTCTAGTGCCACTCAAAAAGCCAGACTATCCGGTCGAAAGTCGTGAAAACCACGGATTTTCGAGAGACGTCCATCGGCCAACAACAAAAAATATTTTAATATTATTCACTAAGTACTTGTCTCACCCCGTTGCCCGGAGGCGCTTCGTTTCTCCTGGCCACCTCGGCCATGACGTACGTCGCAGACGTTCGTTGAGTCAAGGTATAAACGGCCAACGGAACACCATCAACGGCGGCTAAGAGAAGCGATGAGCGTACACGACGTCGTGCCGCTTGCTAACGGAACTGCAAATAGTGCGAATTAATTCGGAATTATCACGTCCGACGAGTGGGGCGCGCACACGCGAGACGTCTTCCTATCAGATGAAGCTGAACGAAAAAAAAAAAAAAACCAAAATCCAATAGTACGGTGCTCGCAAACGTGTGCGTGTGTGTGTGCACTGCGCTATGATTCCGAAGTGTTCGGTGGTCACCGGTACTTCGGTCGGTGGTCGGTCGTACGAATTATTTTCTATGCTCCCATATAGATATAATCGAAGAGCATAGCGACTACGATTTCACTCTCGAATATACGACATGAACGTACCATTACCGCGGATACCACATCCGGTATTATAGCGAGGGGGAATTGCAGTTGATAAGAACAACACCACCAGGTTGGACTACAGAGTGACCAACCTAACCGTGGGCCCCAAATCCGTCGCGTTGGCCGCGCCGTTTCATCGTCGTGGTCTCGCCACCGTACCGCGTGCGACTACGTATGAGTTACGTGAACGTAACTAGTTTTCGCAATTTTATAACTCCGCCTCCGCCGAAGACAGCGTTCTATGGTACGATTTTAAATCATTATTTTTTTTGTTCACCTTTATCGACATAGTTTTATAGTTATTGTTTTTTTGTAGAAATCATTTTCGGCGTTTAGCATTTTTTGTTCCGATCTTCCACGGACCACTTGTCGTGTATTCGTGTATATCGACATTCGACACCCCGTATAACGTACCATAGATTAAGAAGTAATTACGCCCCCCCTCTCGTCAAATTTAAGCCGCAGACCAAGTGAGCAACGAGAAATTCGTTTCGCGCACTCGGTGGCTCGGTCGCAAGTCGCAACTCGCTACCAACGCTCTACAAGTACACTTGTCACGAGTTACGGTAAAGCGCGCGTTCTCTGCCCCTGTACCTTTGTGCGCGCGCGCACCGGACGATCCACATCGATAAGACGCTCTTGTCGTCGCGGCGTTCTCATTCCCAATTCGCCGTCCGTCCGATCGGTTCGAATATCGCAACATTGCGCCGTTCAGCCTAAGCAGCTGCTGCCGTAAAGCCGACGAAACGGTTTCCACGATAAGAACGCGACTTGTCTGGAGACTTGTCAAAGACGCCGTTGTAAGTACCTGTCTGATTTCACCGCCCGTATTTATAGTGAGGGGCGCTGTTGTTTTTCCTGGGGTATTCCGGTCTTCGTATTGTAATACGTGTACGATTTTGTTTTGTGTTCCAGCTTTGGCCAAGTCGACAGAAGCGAACGACATTCGCTAATCATTTCATCGTCAGTCCCGCGTCCCAGAAGGGCGACACCATTTATATGAAGTTTCTCGACACGGGTAAGCAGACTTCGCGAAACACGTGTTGTTTAATACTTGTAAGATTAATTAAATAACGATTACCCGCCTTCTGATATGTTAAAAGTGTTCAATGTTTCCTGCTCTTTACATGTCACTATAGAATTATGCCGATAATAACCTTGAAATCCCGTGTGGCCAATGTGTTCTATAAATACGGGATATAGAGGTCAAATTACGAATTTCTCTGTAGTAGTGTCCATATGTTTCATACATTCTATTCCCGTAAATCGACTAAAGCTTTTTCTTTTCCCGCTAGACATATTTTGCCAGTTTTTCATTACCCCACTAGATTCTTTGTCACTAATCGCCGTAATTACTGTTGATTCGAAATTTATTAAGTTAATTTTTGATTACTTTAAATACAGTTTTTCTCCGTCACATTTCACTCTTTCATGTTAGTTGTGATAAAATGTCTATTCTGGCTCTGTCTCACAAAAATCTAGTAGACCTAATATGAAAACGTAGTTTACCACATAATAATTGTTATTCCTCATTACTTTTTATACTAGTAATTTATAATTAATATTCAATTTAATATTCTACTCTCTGTTGGTAGATTTAAAGTAGGTAGTCTACTGCATTATCTATTATAAGTTCAATTGTGATATAGTTATTTAAATAACTTTAAATATTAATTCAATTATTGTAATATTTTTATTTAAATCTTCACTATTAAATTATACTATCCACTATGTATGAATTGTAGGTTTTAAATTTATAGACAACAATGATGAGCGCTGTATAGCACTTAGTATAGTTTTTAATAATGATTTTATTTATTACTTGTAGATATACATATTTTGTTATTTACGCATTTTATATTATTCATTAATCATTAATTACCTACCTTTTATATAAAGACTGAAACAACTTAAATATATAACAGGAACCTTACATAGCTTAACAGTCACAGATAAATATCTAGGTATTTACAAAATAGTGAGGAATCTATCTATTTAATCAACATCAATTTATGCATTTAGTATATTGTTATTAAATATTTATATTTTTATTTGGCCATTACGATATAATATATTTGTATATGTTTAAACTTGGTTTATTTATCATTAAGTCGCATTGAGATGTAATTTGAAGTGTTGTAACAATGATTTTTTTTTTTACTGATTAATCATAGCCTATAGGTATAGTGCCGTATTAGCCATTAGGTTTATTAGGTCATACTATCATAGGTTACACTACTGATTTGATAGCTTATATAAAAATTGAGTAGATAGCCTAAATAAATAATTATCTTTATTTTGATAATTAAAGAATATCCCAACACAAAAAAATTATTGGTTGATGTTAATAAAGAATTTTTTTTACTTTGTGTTTTGAAATAATTGTATATCATAAATTGGAAGGTAGGTATAAGTATAACCATTATGTTATAGTTAGGTACTTATTATTAATTATGTAAAATGTATAATAGATAGGTAGCTTATTATAGATAGTTTAATTAAGTAAAAACATATGTTAGGTGCCTAATTATTGCCATAATTTCATGTATACTTAAATATAATTAAATTAATTTTATATGAAGTTTGTTATTTATCTAGCTAATATGTTTTAAAGTTCTGTTTATATATATGATTTATAAGTAGGTAATCGTGCTTTATAAGTTATTTATAAACATAATTGGACATTATTATTGATATTATAATTACTGTCAATTATAAACATATTATATCAAATAAAACAACAAAATTGATAATTTATATACCTTATAAATGGATTTTTAATGAAAATTATCATCTTTAAATTGTAATTATTATTTTAAAATTAAAAATATTTTTGTATTTAAACTACCTGATGTTGATTTAGGCATAAAATCTGGAAACTACATTTAATTGAGTCCATAGTGCTTTTATTTATTACACAAACCTTAAAACTAAAATATAATTTTGATAGAATGATACTATTTCTTTAATTTTTAAACTATGTAATTTGACATCAATTTTACTTATTAACTAATCACTCAATCAAAGTTAGTAAAAAAAAAAATTGAACAATTAATGACTTTTACTTTAGTATTTATTTTAAGTTTGTTTTATTGCTATATTGTGATATCCTTATGAATTGAATCAACTGATTAGTTGTCTTAACCCCTTATATTTTTACATAAATAGTATAAAAATAAACTTTGATTTTTAATTCATTAATTAATCTATATGGTCATATTATAATAGCTCCTTATTTATTAAATATTCTAAAGAAGGATTTTATGTTTCTAAAATAATTTTAACCATTTGCAAATCTTATTAATTATGAATAGAATAAAATAAACTATATGGACGATTTACTCTTTTCCAATGATAATATAAAAATATGAAGCTAAAAATATCTCAACATTTAAACAAATGATTGATTTTTTTTTTAACCTGTTATGAATATATGAATTGTTTTTATAGGTATTCTTTATCTTTCATAGATTTCTATAAATGTGTTAACAGAGTCTATAATAATTGTATACTAAGTTTAAAAATGAATAATCTATTTAACTTCACTTTTAAAAAATAATTCAGATATTATTTAGTTAGTAAATCATGACACTATACAAATAAGTGTGTTCAAATAAAAATATTATATATATATATATTAAATTACTTAATTCTTGTGTCTTAAGTAAATTGTACAGTTCTAATAAACAAATTCCTAACTATTTGATATTTTTGAATAAAAAATAAATAACCTCATCTCAGGAATTAATTTTGTCTATGCTACATATATTATGTATACTAACTGTAATTATTAAGAATATTTATGTATTTATGTTAATATGTTATTAAAATAAACTATTAATCAAAAACAAATATATAATAAATATAATTAACAATGTACTGAGTGCATTTTCTATTAGGTATGAGGAATATAACATAAACTTAAAAACTAATAATTTTGGTTACCTAACTTATCAAAAATAATTGTTATTTTATTGTTTACAAATTGTATTAATTTCTAACCTTTTATTTGAATATAAAATGGTTGCTATATCTCAATCCATTTATAGAATATTTAAAGCTTAGTAGGTATTGATATTTAATTTTTCACAGGAAACCCACCCTCTATATTTGAAATAATTTTTTATTCATCAAAATAATTTCATATTTATTGTTACTTACATCGTATTAAATATATTATATATATATAAGATAAGTTATATATCTCGTATAATTATTAATTTTGAGTTAAGTGATTTTGAATTTATTAAAATAAAATTTTAAAATCGAATCCCTTTCTAACACGCCTTAAAGTTATATCTTCCTGCCTAAACCTACTGACAGTCAATCTCACCCCTCGTAAAATTAGATAGTTCATTCGATTCCGTTTCTCAATTTCTGGCGATCGTAATGGAAAACATATTTATCTACCGATTTGAGGAACGAAAAATTAGAAACACAGCGCAGCATATAATTATTGTATAAAAAAATGCTGCGCTGTGTTTCTAATTTTTCGTCACTCAAATCGGTAGATAAATAAGTTTTCCATTATGATGTTCATCTGAAATTAAGAAAAATTTTCTGAACGACACGTGCAAGTAAATAGTACTTTCTGTAGTGTTGTAGTACTCATTAGAAGTCTACTTGTAATAGTAATTTATTGACCTGGACAAAACGACGCTCGACGGCGTGTTCGGGCATGCCCACGAACCGCGAGTTGTCACTGGCTCGAGCCTCCTCCAGACCACCAGTAGGTATATTGATTTTACGCCGCACGCCTGCACACTCTCCGGTTAGTCTGTCTATCGTCAGCTTTCATCTTACACCGCAGCTCGTTTTATTCACTGGTAAATTTAAAAAATAGTTCGAAACCGTAACTGCCATCGTCACCGCCAATATTCAAAACTGTCGCGAATCAAAATAGATTTCAGTTATCTGAAACCGATTTACAGTTTAAACATTATTTTACTGAAAACCTTTCGTAAACATATGGTGGTGCTATCTCGTATAGGTGAGTGTGTATGTGCGCCCTAGGCTAATACTTTTTGTCAAAAGCCGATTTTTCCGATGTAATTTTGATGATATAATATGTTATAATACGTTTTACAATCACTAAAGACTAAGATTGTAGAAAATCCTTTTAAAAAATAATTTTTTGTTTTATTGTTTATTGTTAAAAAAAAAAATACGTAATAAACTCTAAAACTACTTTAAAATATGCTAAAAAAAGTATGCAGATGCTGTTTAGAATAGACCTATATAAAATTCCTCGTTTTTTCCTTATTAAAAAAAAATATTATGGCTTAAAAAAATGTATACACTGTTAAAAAAATAAACAATATTTTTAACCTATTATAAATATATATGTTATATTTTATGTAAAAAAAAAATAGTAACAATTATTATTTATAGGATATATAGTTTTTCATTTATTAATGAAGGAATTAATTTTTTCCAGTATCGCCATCATTATCCAGAGCAAGATCTGGCAGTTGTAAAAAGCTCATAGAGCCATTTATTGGCCCTGCTACAAGGTGCATGAGTTCTTTAAAATACCAGGGTTTTAGTTTTCGGTAAATATTATTAAATAGTCATTTTAGAAAGAAAATTGAATAAAATTTTACTTTTTAAATGTCTTATTTTTATAGAAATTTGTTGGAACAGGACATCAAAATACTGCTGCAACCGACACAGGAAATCGCAACCATTCAGGGAAACGTGACGGGTTACACTTAATATAGGAACAATACAGTTGCAACCATGGGTAGCTTAAACGTAAATCGGAATGTCAGTGATGCATTCTATCGATATAAAATGCCTAGACTTATGGCTAAAGTTGAAGGCAAGGGTAATGGCATCAAAACCGTGATTGTCAACATGGCTGAAGTGGCTAAAGCTATTGGAAGACCAGCTACATGTAATTTAAAACCAATATTTTCAATTTATTTATAATATTAATTTTTTTTTTTTTTTTTAGATCCAACTAAGTTCTTTGGCTGTGAACTAGGTGCGCAAACTCAATTTGACTTTAAACATGATAGATTTATAGTAAACGGAGCTCATGATGCTGGCAAACTTCAAGTAAGAAAATAATTTAATTTATACATATTTATATACTATTTAAATCATTAGATTTTTATTATAACTAAATTAATATTTTAAGGATCTTTTGGATGGTTTTATTCGAAAGTATGTGTTATGTCCAGAGTGTGATAATCCAGAAACTGAATTGATGATCAGTACTAGAAAGGGAACAATACATCAGGGTTGTAAAGCTTGTGGTTATTATGGTTCTTTAGAATCCAATCATAAACTAAATGCTTACATTTTGAAGAATCCACCAAGTAAGGGTTTAACTTTTTACATTTTGTACAACCATTACTAAAATCTTAAATTATAGATTTAAATCCAGCGGCTCAAGGATCATCATTAACTGAAGGAAAACGTAATAAGCGTTCTAAGAAACATGGCGGCGAAAACGGTGAAGGAGGCAGGTCTAGTTCTCCAGAAGACAATAATTCAGAATTGATAGTTCAAGCTCCAGAAAAATTAGCTGAAGATGTACAGTTTGAATTTTTTAATATTTAACATAACAATATTTGCATAAAAATCATATTTAGTGCTTGGTCAACTGCTTTCATATTTTGAAATGATAACCATTTATACAGAGTAATTTTATCTTCTTGAATAACAGTCATTATTTTTTAATACATAATTTCCTGTTGAAAATAAATAACATTTTTTAAATTCTGAGCAGACTAATGAATATACTAATTTTAATACTATTGTATTTTTTTTATGAAAACACGATAAATTGTCATAAAATGCTTTTTCAATTTAAAAAAAATTAGGTGGTTTTTTTAGATATTAAGTTAGATTTAGTTTGTACTTTAGAGGTCAAACTTGTTTTTTATGGAACTTTCAAACTAGTAACTTTAAATACATGAAATTTTCACAAAATATTTTTATCATCGTTCTCTATTTATTTAAAATTTTCAATCTCAGTTTCTTTTTTTAAATACCAATTAAAAAAATATGCTAATGAATCCTTTCAGCTCAAAATCATTTTATATATACAATAATATTTCAAATTACTATTATTACCATTTCAAAATATAAATAATATGTTACCCTGCCATTACATTAAATCTGTTAAATTAAGAGTTTTTTAATAAGTTAAATGTTTTATTGTTGGTTAATTAAGGATGGTAATGATAAATGGGCTGTTGATGTTTCTGAAGCGGCAGTTAGAGCTCGTATGCAAGATTTAACTGATGGAGCTAAAGGATTAACCATTGACGAAGATACAGATAAGACTGAAAAAGAAAGAATGGATATATTTTACAACAAGGTAACAATTTAATATCATAATATATAATTAATATTACCTTTAACTCATCATAAAAAACTAAATGTTTATTATTATTATTATTAAATTTATTAGATAAAATAATAAGTCATCAAACCACTAAATGTAAAATATTAGTAACTTATAGAGTAGCAGTTATTTATTGAGCAATTGAAAATCATGCTATCTATTAATGGTTATAGAGGTTTTGTTATAGATAATTATTATAAATTTAATTTATTTTTTTCTTTGTGAATAATATACTTCTAAAATTTGTTATACTATATATTAATTTAATTCTATAATATTATGCACTAATGTCAAAACTAAATTATATTAATTTATCATAGAGCCGTAATGAAAGCCATCAGTGTTCTTAGGCATTTAACATATTTATGCCCTTCTTCTTTTTAACTCCTCCTCACAATTTTTTTAATTCGGCTTAAATTAATAAGTTTTAATTTTTATAGATTTTTAAAGTTAAGCTTTTTATGAAATTTTATTATTTTAGTTTAAAAATTGTGTGTGTGATGAACTACTATAAACTAAAATAAGTTTTGTTTATATTACAAGGTTACTTTTTATTTATCTATTAATTATTTATATCAAGTTTAACTTGGATTTTATGTAAATATATATATACATTATACTGCAACATTATGTATAATTTACATGTTCTATAGGTTCAAAAAGCACGAGATTCTGGTTTAATTTCAGAGTCAATTACAATCAAAGAAATTGTGGCTGAAGCTGAGCGTTTAGAAGTGAAGAGTAAAGCTACATTAGTATTGGCTGAACTATTATTTGATGATAAAATCCATTTGCAGGTACATTAATAATTTGTATTATATACTCTTGCTATAAACATGATTGTGTACATTATACTCATCAATATTATTGTTGTTATTGATTTTAGTTGAAAAAACATCGTGTCTTGTTCTTACGTTTTTGTCATGAGGATCAAAAGGCTCAAAGATATTTATTGGGTGGGATAGAACAAGTGATTGGACTCCATAAAAGTAGTTTGTTACCAAAAGTTTCTGCTATATTGAAGGTATATTTTTGTTACTAAGAAGTTTTGGTATTATTTTTTATTGATTGATTATTAATAAATTTATTTCTTGTGTTAAGTTATTTTACGATGCCGATATTTTGGAAGAATCTATATTATTAGACTGGGCTAGTAAGATCAGCAAGAAATATGTCTCTAAAGAACTTAGCCAGGAAATACATAACAATGCTAATCAATTTATTACTTGGTTACGTGAAGCTGAAGAAGAAGAAGAAAGTGGAGAGGAAAGCGATGATGATGTTGAGGTAAAATATTTGAAATTTGCTATATTTATATCCCATATTTCTTGATTTTATTTATTTCATTAATATTACTTATAAATTAATATTTATTAATTTTTCCATATGGAAATGCTTTTTTTATTTTTAAAGCCATTATTTATTAAGATTACTTTTTTCCAGATTGAATATAATGACCGTGTGCATACTAGCACATTAAAAGCAAAACCCGCACCACCAGTTGCTGCCAAATCCAATGTTGATGATAATGAAGATGATGTTGATATTGATGCCATCTAATTATCTTAGTAGACAGAACATCTAAATTTTAATTTTCAGATAAAATTAGTTTACAATATTATACCTGTAATCAAATATACATTTAAAAACCAACTACAGAATTTTCAACATTTCATTTATTATCAGATTCTAATTTACAATATATAAAAATATTAAGTAACATTTAAAATCCTTCTTGTACCTTTTATTTTATTTTTTTATTATTATTTTAATTATAATTTATAATTGGTAGATGGCTGCAAATATGTTATACAAAGTGGCTATTCACTATTATTAAAGTGTATGATGCCATAAGTTAATAGTGTATTTAATTGCGTTAGCCATTCTAATAAAGTTTTCCAGTAATTAAAAAATTAATTATGACTATTTTTTTCTTTTTATTATTATTATTTCCCAGACACTAAATATTATATTGTAACATTGATCAGCACTACATAATTTTTAAATTTACATGTTAATTATTTTTTTTTACAGAACAAAACATTATTTTGTTTCTTAAACAAATATATACCTTATGACAGATTTTCAATGCACTAAACTATTTCAGAGGCTTATTAAAATATATAACCAGTTCAAAAAACACTTAAGAATGTATTCAGCATTAGTTGAAATGCCTCCTACAAAGTATTTTAAAATATCTTACAAAAAAACAATATATTATATAGATATATGTTTTATTTTTTCTATAATAATATATAATATTAATTTACATGATAAATTGACAATTTTTAAATTCTACACAATTTGACATAAATTTTATTATAAAATCTAAATTAACTTATACATCATATAAAAAAATCATCACGGTATCGTGTTTGTAAAAACTTATAATTTTATATGTTTTACGTCCAACTCTATATTTATAGATTTTAAAAAGTTTAAATAGTTTTGACGCAAACCATCTGATTCTTTTAGAGATATATCACAGATTAAATAATATAATAATATTTATTTAATCTGTGATATTATATTATTTATTATTATTAATAAAATATAGTTGTTTTCGATGTGCACTAATGAAAATAACAAGTAAGAAACCAAGAAATTAACAACTATCATGGTCTTTCTATATCTTATGCCCAGAATTTAGCTATCAGATTTATATCAACTGTCGCATTACTTTTTAACTTATTCATATCCGATCAACCCAACACTTCTAAACACCGAAAATAAGAAAAATCATAAGTGTCTCGTTATGAGCGAGTGCGCACGGGTCACCGGTGAGATCGTACCACCAGCGGCGCGATCGTGTTGTGCGCGAGCCCTCGATGTCTCCGAGACGGTTTCGCATCGCTCAAAACGGAACGCGACTCCGTAATCGCGCGGCCGTCAGGTAAATAAAAGCTCGGGGGGGGATCGCATCAATAATGGTTACTGCACGTCTGCACGAGTCTGGGAGACTAGTCTCTGCCACCGGGCAATAGGTTATTCGTTGCGTAAATTTGTGTACTTAAAATATATATCTATAAAATATGTATAAACCTATTAACCAAAATCATATTGTACTCAAGAAACTATGAAAAATCAATATTTCAGTTCCTAGTTTAAATTTTAAATTAATAGCTTAGAATGAAGTAGAATATTTTTCTATAATATATAACATTATACTATTCCTATTTTTAAAGAGATTCAGTGATTCAACACCACCATCATTCAAATCAAATGTAGTACTTGTAATTTATTTAGAGTCGGTTATTATTTATTATTATTTACTGTAATGGCCACGGGCTAAGAGGAACCCACCCCTAAATAAAGTTTTATATGTATGGCAACCGCCATAGATGAACATGGACTTCGGCGCCTCTGAGCCCAACTCAAACCAAACCCTAGTAAATGATTTTTCAGATGACAAAGTTATAATAGCTAACAGCGCCGACCCTAACTTAGCTTCTCTCTATTTACAAAACTATCTCCACCTTCTTGAAACAGGGTATAAAGAACAGGTAGTAAAAAAGAACAAGAGAAAGTCCACTCTTTGACATGCTCGACACTTTTCCTTAACAACCAAATATTACCTAATGCCCATTGCCCAATATGCAAAGTGTGCGATATCTTGGAATTCACATCGATTGTCGACTCAGTAACCGCAACTAGTATGCAGTTACAATTTTACTTTTGCAGACACTAAATTAGTGTAATCTATTTTCATAAAAATTTTAATAATAGGAATATTTTTAATTGTAAAATTATTATTAATGTAAAAAAAAACTTTTTTTTATTATAATACGGGAAAATTGTTGTTCCAAAGTTGGTGTAACTGATCTCCCGAAATTTGATTTTGTGATATCTCGCTGTTATCAAAATTGGGAAAATTGTGATAACATCGTTGTGTACTGTACTGTGAAGGTTTTTCACGTGTGAAGTACAGTGGCTCATGAACTGTATTGACTTTTTGACTATAGTTTATAATTGTTACAAAAGTTAAGTTTATTATTTCTCATTGTTTCGGCTACTAAACGTTTTGAAGTAAGTAATTCTTAATCGTGTTTTAAAATATACGTGTCCAACACCAATTGCTAATAATTATTACAGAATATATTATATATTTGTTAACTGGCATTACACCGTTTTCAGACAAATAACAAAATAATATTAATACGATATAATTAAATTAATTTATAAAGCAGCTGCTTAATTTGATTAACCTACCTAACTACTGTTTACTATAAAATGTGTTCTTTATAATAATTATTGTTATTTTATATATAATACATCTACGACTTTATCAAAAAATTATAAATTTCTCATTATAAATTCATATTTATTCAAGTAGTTAAATTAAGGTATATTTATGCAAATTGGGGTAAATATATTTTAGGATTAACAATGTTGTAGTATCCGAGCCACTCTGCAAATATTAACATTTCCTATATAATAGGCAATAGCCGTGTTGCATGCCAATATCAGATCCAGATCCAGGGTGTTATTAAAATGAAATTTACAACTCTTAAATACAATAATGTTTATTCTGTATAAATGAAATACATGTAACTGATACAAAAAGTGGCTGAGTGTCGTGAAGTTGCTCAGGTCTTCGTAGCTCTGGTACATCTGCCCCTGTTGGTCTTCGGACTCCCTTATATACAAGAAAATCTCTTGTTGTTGTAATCGTCAACCTTCCAATTTAGATTAGTTTTTGGAATTGTTTTCACATTTGAAACAACAATCTCCATGATGTTATTGTCCTTACTGGCAATTCTTGGAAATGCAAAACGACCTCGCCTAACAACTACTATTTTGATTTATTATGATGCTTTTACAAAATATGAATCTAATATTTCGTATACATTATAATTATTAGATCACATATATATTTATATTACTATTGCTAACACCTATAGCAATATTACACATTATATTATATATTAGCATATCTCGTAGCCCTTAACAGCCGTAATAAACATTTTTAATATTGTTTAAAAGACAGAAGTTAAACATATAAACTTAATGTCAAGATCACAGTCAGAAGTAGTAAATATTTATGCAATTGTTGTTCAAATCTTGGTATATTGTATGTGTACTATCAAGGCAGAATGTGACCAAATAATATTTTTTCTAATTATCTATTTAAAAAAGAGGATACTTATAATTACTTAATTATATTAAGCTTTTGTTGATTAAAATCTTAATCATTCAAAAATATTGAAGTTTATTTTATTTACTTTTTTTAATTCTGTCTTTTTAGTAAATATTTTTAAAGCTACATCTCTAAATTCATATAAAATACTACTAATCGTATTATATAATACCTAATTAATGATAGTATTTTTAAAATTTGATACAAACGGTTTACTATTTTTAATGCTAATTACCTATTGTGTTTAAGTTAATTATAAATTAAATTTTATTTTTAGAAAAATGAGTTCTCCATACCAGGGTGCATTGACATGTGTTACATGTCAAATTGTATTTGAAACTGGTGATGCACATCGTGAGCACTATAAAACAGATTGGCATCGTTATAATCTCAAAAGAAAAATCATCAATCTACTTCCTGTTGACCGACCAACTTTTGAATCCCGAATACTGAATCAACAGATCAAGGAAAATGAAGAAAATTCAAAGAGTTCTATTTATTGTACCATTTGCAAAAAATCTTATAATTCTCAAAAGTCTTTTGATAGCCACACTTCTTCTAAACAGCATAAGACTTTAGCATTGCAATCAGACAATGAACATAAAGATATTGGTGTACCTGCTGCCAAGAAAATAGTTAAACCAGTTGAGAATAAACTTGTTGAAGAAAGTGATGACGAGTACGAAGATGTAGATGACGATGAAGAATGGGGTGAAGTAGTCAGTGAAAACAACCCCATAGTAAATAATATATGTTTATTCTGCCCTCAAAGCAGTGAAAACTTATTGCAAAATATTAAGCATATGTCTGACACTCATTCATTTTTCATACCCGATATTGAGTACCTGGTTGATATGAAAGGATTATTAGTGTATTTAGGAGAAAAGGTATGTCAAGGCTTTATGTGTTTATGGTGCAATGATTCTGGAAAAAATTTTCATTCAATAGAGTCTGCACAAGCACACATGATTGACAAAGGTACTTTTGAAATGGAATAAGGTTTTAATAAGTTAATGTAAATAATAGAAAAATAATTTTAGGTCATACTAAAATGATTCATGAAGGTGAAGCATTACTTGAATATTCAGACTTTTATGACTATTCATCAAGTTATCCAGCAGACACGTCTGTAGATGATTATCGTATTGTTGAAGATGTTAACTCTCAATTAATTCTTCCTTCTGGAACTAGAATTGGAAAACGATCATTAATGCGATACTACAGGTAAAGCAATAAAATAAATATTTACAAGTTGACTAAGATAATCATTTAATCATTAATATTAATTCTTCTCTGTATAAAATATTGATTAAATTAAGTTTTACTATTAATTGATTTTAGGCAAAATTTGAATCCAAATCATGATTGGGAAGCTATGAAGGAAACAAAACTAAACAAAGTAATCAATCATTACAGACATGTAGGATGGACAGGAACTTTCCCTGCTGCTGCTGCTAGGTAAGTATTGTAAAATACAGATAATTAAATCAATAAAATTTTAACAGTAGTCATCATACAAAAATATAGCATATAGACCTAATCAATGGTCTGATAAAACCAGGTTGTTAATTTTGATGTATTTACTTGTTTACCGTGCACCATTGATTGCTTAAATAAGAGTTTGCAATATTTTTTGTTTCATTGAAATATCAATTAACATAAAAACTATTTTTTATTTAAACAAATAATTTTGAAGTATTAAAAATTTTATTTTAGTTAAAATATAATTAACTTGTCAGTAATACATGTTAATGTATACCAATTAAAAATAATTCATTCATTCATACAGGCAATAAAATTTATAGATTTAAATTGTACACATTATATTTTAATTTACTTTTTCATATTATACTAATTAATCACCAAAGTGCTCTCATCAACTAGAATATGTATTTGTCCTAAAAACATGGTCAACTATAGTCTTCTTATTAGCATTCTTTTGACAAGTCAAACTATATTTATTTTAATTATTATTAAATTATATAAATAATAATATAACAAAAACAATCAAAAATATAGTTAGAATAATATTATTTATATTATTTTTTCAATTTAGAAGTTAAGATATGTTCAAAATTGTATTTTTATTTTTAAATTAATGTATGTCTATTTCAACCTAACCACAAAGTGAAATAATTAAATATTTTAAACTGTTTAGTATATTATGATGAACTATAAGCCACACAGTTTGTATAGAACTCAATGATAGTAGAAATGTATAATACTTAAGATTACACCCTAATTTAACATCTTACTTCTCCATTTCTATCAAAAATGTTCTCATATATTGCTAAAACTTAATAATGAACTATAATTTATTTTATAAATTACATTAATATATTTTTACAGGAAAGCCAGAGATTTGAAAGTTATGAGACAAGTTCAGACAAAAATGTACATGCAATTAGGAGTTAAAGCCAACAAATTCCAAAAGCATTTCCGCCAGCAAGTTAATTTTTAAATTTTATTTTATATTTTTTGAAATACTTAGTGTAAGTTGTTCTATTATAAAATAAAATATATTGTTATAATATATTTTTTAATAATAATTTTTAAATAAATTAATTATGAATATAGCTTTAATGTTATTCAATTGTTTATAGTTTATACCTTTTCATATTAAATGTTTAGGTGGACCTAGAGTAAATTTTCAGTATTAGATAAATGTTAAACAAAACTACTATGGTTAAACTGTGTAAATTTCTTGCTTATTAGCCATTATAAATTAAATAATATTTCATTTGTATCAAATTTATTATAATCACACCCATTAAACTATTTAAGAAAAAAAAACAATTCTAACGAGATATTTGATAAATTTATTTTTAGCGTTCAAAACTTTATAATAACATTAAATAAAGAATTTAGTCATATAGATCTTAGAAGAAAAATAAGCTTAGTAAAATTTAATTAATTGTCTGGTGAATTAGAACCCGATAAAAGGCTTGATCCTTTCACAGAAAAAAAGGCTTAAGATGGAAACATACAATTATATACTTGATATTATGATCAATAGTATTGAAAAAAGATTTGATAATTCAAAATTACTCAAATGTTTGCTCAGATCCTGAACATTTTCAAACTATTAACAATGGTATACATGAAAACTCAATAATACAACTTGCTGAATTAACAAGCTTAATTGTAAATATTACACACTTTAACTACATAACTACAACAATTTAGATTACATTTTCCAAAAATAATCCACCTTTTAACAATGAATCCTACTCTGAACCGAAATTAAATACCGAGCACCTTTTATATTGAAGTACGTGTTTTTCTAGGCTAATCAAAACATATTTTACTATTGCTCCCCATACTAAAACAATTTCGACCTATTTTCCCTACCGCGTGGACTTTTCGACTCAGTCCAACTCTGAATAATATTATACCTACTTGAAAATAGTATATAACGCTTAAATTCTTTTCTATGTTTATAAATATATATATGCACATTCAGTTTAAACCAATACTTAGCGGCGTCGTGGAAGTAATACGCAAGCAGTCCCCACGGCGCCGTCGATTCAAAATCGTAAAAAAAAAAAACCAATACATATATAATATTATATTATTATAGAACGTAACATTTGCTGTAGGTACCTATTTAATTGAAATATGCAGATCTAAAAAACTAGATTAATATTTAAGTATACGAAAATCACTGCTAATGGTTGTCGTTACTAAAATCATTGAAAATTGAAATAGTTTGACATTTACTGAGTGTCTGTCCCAATTAATAATCTCAAATACTTAAGAGTTGTAGACGATATATTATATATAATTTTGTGTTTAATTTAAATTAATAATTTTTGCTCGATCATGAAAAACTCTTGAACGATTTATATTCTATCATCACGTGTTGGCCAATAATATTTAATATATAAATTATAAATAAATAGAAAATACTAAATAGTTACTTTTAACCTTCCTATACTCGTAAGAAAATAAAACGTATCGCACAACATCCGGTACGTTTAATCCGAACCTATGGGTGGACACTGCCACACTGGACAGAGGACAATAGACAGCACTACACAACGGTTAAAAAGTTGATTCTGGCGAACCAGTGCAGGACAGATTTTTTGACCAATCCCTTTTTGAGTTGTCAACTAACTGCGCTGTTGGTACCATCAATGATCTACCAAGACAGACGCGCTCGGTAGATCCTTCAGTGACTCGACATTTTTTGGTCTTGGTGTTTTTGTTGATTTCCAATACCACAGGTACACTTGCCGCAAATAACCTGTCTACGACCGATTCCTGGAATTTGCATTTAACCGCTGTTACAAGTGGCTATTAAATATAGGCCAAATTAAACTTCGATTGACGCCGTAAGTTTTTCAATCAGGTATTATAGTCTACAAGTAATGTCTGTAGGTATGTCTCTGTGCACCTCACGTGTAGACCCGTTTTATATGTCGCGTTTTGGTTAAGAACGTTAACATTATTCAAACTTACGCACAACGCGATAAAACCACTATGGCACGTTTTCCTCATCGGTAAAACGCATATGAAACCGATTAATTTAAATCGAAAAACATGTCAAAAAATAAATATTTTATTAAAATAAAGTTTTTATATTTTCATTTTTCATATTATTATTGATAGAAAATATAATGTATATAATATTATACATAAACATCCCTATAAATAATGTCTTGAGATTTGATTTTAATATTTTGAACTCTTCAATTACATTATCATAATTGATTGAAGTTGCAAGGTATATTGTTTCATGAAAATGATTAGCATATAATTTAGTCTTTCTTGTTTTATATAACTGCTCAATTTTGTTTTTATAATATTTAATTTTGAAAATTATTGCTCACAGAAGTTGCTAGTAAATAATAATAACAATATACTCACAAAATTGGATAATGCTGCTTTGAGTACATTAAGACAAGTTAGACAACTATTACGAATTGTTAATTTTTGCAACCAATTATAAATTATTTTGTTTGTTGTTCCTCTTTTAAAATATTTTATAGCTTTTATTAATTTGTAATTCAACATTTAATTAATCTTTATTTAAGTTGAATTTGTTTGATAAAATATCAATATTAAATGTGGTTTGCTTAAATATTCAATCATATTTAAGGTTTTTTTGATTGAATCTGTCCTCGAGACTATATATTAGTTCATGAATATATATTAAACACCAAGTAGTTCATTTCATTTTCTTGTAAAAGCTATACACACTTATTAGATTGTAAAAATGTACCTCATCAAATTTATCATTTTATCAGTGTAGTTTTAAACAATTTTTAAAAAATTAAAATATTTGTTTTTTAAATAAATATAGACTAGGTACATACCTAGTTAATTTTAAAAGAATACTTTTTTCTAAGTTACCTACTGACATTCTATAATATAGTTTATTAAGTATTTATAAACTACAAAAATTTATTGAAATGTTCCAATTCATATCACATTTTAATGTTATAATATGTATTTTGTATTAATATAAATATTTAACATATTGGTATTTTTGCTGTAGACTATATATACTTGTTGTCTATTACATATTTCTATACATCATAACAATTTACAAAATACATTTTATATTCAATTAAAATATGAATAAATACTCATAATTGATTTTCAATAATGGTAATATAAATTTTAATTTTAATATTTTCTAGTTAAATAATTCAATAATACATGTCCAATCACATCACAATATAATTCTAAATTCAAAAAACTTGTATAATATACTAAACCATAACTGATTATCTTATAAAATTATGATTACTATCATATTAATTGCTAAACCTAAGTTATATTATTAAAATAGAAATTAAATTGTTAAAGTTAATTTTAATTATTGTTACTGTTGATTCAGTGGGAGTGACTTGGTAGATAGCAAGTTTGCGATATATATTATATGCATACAACAAGAATAGGTACCAATATATTTTATACTTCACTTTTGCATTGTTGTTGTTATTTATTTATTATTTAAGAAATGGATCGTGAAAGAAGAATTGATGAAACTAATAACAGCCTTACTCTTGATCAACCTAGCATCCAAGAGGAAAAACATGAGGCACAGCAGAATGTTAACATAATTTTGAAAGGTATTCTTTCTAAATAATATTTTAATTTATTTTATATATCAACCATGATTTCAGTCTTAGAGAAATAATTATCACATATTAAAATAATTATTATAAATTTAATTTTTAATTAAGTATTTTTAGTATCTATGTACCTATAAATAATAAATTGATTTTTTTTGATCTTTTAATTGCATGCTGTACTAATTTTTTGTAACTTTATTATCACAGTGTGATTTGCTCGTTTTATGATCCATTTTACTACTCCATCTTCAATTATATTTCTTTATCATGTTTTATTAAATCTACTTTTCCATCTTGAGTAACTAGGTACAAAAGTAAAGAATTAAATAATCTTTTGATTAAAAAAAAAAATTCATTCCTATTTAAAATAATGAAATGTACATGCAATCATTGCAATCTACTTGATCATAAAAAATTCACACTTCTTCTTTATGCTAAATACAAGTTTTTGTTAAAAAAAATGTTATTTTTCTTTTATATAACAGTCTAAGAACTTTCTTAAAAAAAAATTCATAAACTTTGGACCTTTGTTTAAAAAACCACTCCAACAGTTGCATTCCTAAATTCTTTAAATTTAACAGATAGTAGGTAGTAATGATAATCGAGATTCTGTTAATATGTTTTTTGCATACTCCAATTCAATTTATTTATGCAAATAGTCTGTGCTACTGAACTTATTAATTTAGATATTTTTTCCTTTGATCTCTTTTATAATTGGTCTTTTTTCTCTTTAAAATACATAGATTTAAAAATGGCTTTCTTTTTTATTGTATAAAAATACATGTATGAATTTTTTAATTAATTATTTATTTTATCTTTCAAAGATTTAATTGAATGGGACGATGGCGAAACACAGTTATTACTTGATTTATATGATAAATTTATTCAAGAAGTTGGCCAGGATAAAACTTTCAAAACTATAGATGATTTGTGGATAGCGGTGGGATCAGAAATAACTCGTTCTTACAAAGTGATAAGATCCCCACTCGATTGCATGAATAAGTAATATTTTTGATTTTAATTTTTTATGTAATATGTATCAATATTTATTTAATATAAATAACCATATCCCAATTTTTGTAAAGTTGTACTTTAGTTAGCAGCTTAAAAAAATGCACATTTTTACCATAAATTATCTAACAAAAGATTTTTCTATAGATTTGATTCCCTGAATAATGAAACGACTACTTCTGAATCAGAAAATTCGAGTGAGAATTCTGATCTTACCACTGACGAAATTGAATCAAATTTCAATCCAAGAATTTATCATCAAGTTTTATATCCTGGATTATATATTGCACTTCAAATTCAAGAGGAAATATATTTTTTCAAAATTCAAGACAATGAGGATATTGAAGATCATGGTGTTTATTTTTTTCAATTTCCAGAGGGCGATGAAGATACTAACGAATTTCAACTTTCGGAGGACATTGAAGAAATAATACTATTAATAGGTAAAATTCAATTATAAATTTTAAATTTATGTTTTATTATTAATTAAACTAGTTCTTGGTTAAATTATTCAAAAGCTCAGTAAAAAAAAGTAATAGTAGTAGCATTCTATTAAATATTTTTTTCTTTACAAAGAAAATTGAGAAATCATAGATATATTTTGGAATATAAATTATATGAATTCTTGACCATGAGTAAATGACAATATAAATAATATTATGAAACTATTAAACCCATGTTTTTCACGTTAAAGCCATTCGTTGATAAAATAATCTCTAAATATGTTCCTCACTGCAATGCTTTCTGTACTTAAAAATCCATTTTTACTGGCCAAAGACCAAAGATGTTCTGTCAGTACTAGGAGGTTCTTCTAAATCCAATTGATAAAATATCTTTCCGTCTTTTTCTAAGTATGGATCTCATCACATATTATATAAACAACATGCCACAATTATCAAGTCATCATATGTTGGTTTTATTTATATTTATGGGTTAAAAAAATACTCTGAATACTTTACTTAATAATCCGAAAGCATTCTCTGTAACTCATCGACCATGATTGGGTCAATAATTGAATATTATTTCTTACTGTATATTTTAGCCGGCTTTTGCTAAAATGGTCTTATGTTTGTGCAATCTGAAAGCCTGATCACCAAGTATAATAGCACCTATCAAGAAATATACAGTCCAAAGTAAATCCAAATGTATAGTTCAAAATTTGTTGCTCCATATTCAATTTCAAAAAAATGCCATTATCCCCTTCTTTCTCAACTGATCCAACATCAATAGTTTTAAATTTATAGTTTACATCCACTATAGTCAACAAAAGACAGAAAAATATTCTTTAAAATTTAAGAATAAAGAACCTCAATTACTTGGACATTGGATTCTTATGTGTTTTCTATCAATAGCAAGTACACAATTTGAAAAGTTCTATATCTGATAAAATTCATTTGCTTTAATTTTTAAGTCTACTGGAGTCAGGCAAAAATAGTGACATTAACTTTTGTTTTATAACTGTTAAAGTTTCTCTTACTATAATACTAATATAGCTATAGGAAATGCGAAAAGCAAATACCAAAGAACGAAAGGATTCTTCTGTTGCCCGATACCTAAAAAATAATCAAAATTTTTTATAAATATCTAGTATACTTTAAGGACCATAACACCTTGAGGCAGTAATTTATGATTTTAAATAGTTATTTTTTGTTACTTAATAATATTATTCGTATGACATTAAAACTTTTTAAATATGATATTATATTTTATACACAGAATAATATTTTTATGCAATATTTTAAGATTTATAAAATAGTATAATAGGTTGCTAACTAATACATTTTTTTTAAATTGTCTAATTTATTTTTATTTTATTAGAAAAAAAAACGAAGTTTACCAATAAGTAAGTGCTAGTTTTTCTTCTGAAGATATTGGCTCAGGTACACGTTATGTTGGTTTCATTGTTATTTCTGCTTGGACCAAAGATAAAATAAAATAGAATTGTTCACGATTTAGACGAAGGAATTATCGGAATTTTTTATCTTTAATAAGGTGTTCACAACTCAATTTCTTAAAGAATCCTTCAGTGTTCTTTGTGGAAAACAAAATTTTAAAAGATTTTTTTTTTTTGAAATTAAATTCATAAGTAACTTATATTCAACTTTTTCATTACAAAGCAAAAATTCACAAATAGTATTATTTTTATCAATAATACTTTTTAAAATTAAAGTTTTATTCATACTAAAAATTTAAAAATTAAAACTTGTAGGTAAGAATTATGTGCGGAAAAGAAAACAGTTGTATTGGTTTTGATTCAATTTTGCAAAATTAAACTAAAAGAGTGGAATAAAATAATAAAATCTACAGCATCTAATGCTACAGAGAAAACAAAGTAAATGCAGCAGGGAACTGTACCTTTATAAAAACATTTATAAAAAATTGGGAGACATAAGTATAATGATAAGTATAAAGGAAATGAAAATGTGTCTCATATAGTCTCCTCTATTAATACTTTACTTTTAAACATAAACATAAGAACCAAAAAAAAAAAAAAACTACACATTATACTTCATTACAATTAAATAACAAAAACAATGAAAAAAAAACAAAACAGCATAAAATATAATAAATACTTTGGTCTCAAAAAGGAAAAGAAAATTGAACAAAATCATAATAAATAATTCCCTATAGATAGATACCACATATTTAACTTTTAAGTCTTAATTAACTTATAACTTGTGGCCAAAAATGAATCATCTATATCTATCGAATTTCGAAGCGTGTGGAACAAATCAAAGTAAAACATATTACCAAATGCTGCAAACATTGCACTTCACAATTGATAGAACAAACATTGGGATCAGCTCTACAATTGAAGGTTTATTAGGAACATAATCAACATGTTAAAAAAAATTAAATTTTTAGTAATTTTATATAATTTATTACCACAAAAATTTGAAATATTTATAAAAACATTAAAAATCTACTATAAAAATATTGTGTTTATGTATTAATGACCTAAACTACCAAAAAAAATTGAATATAACTCAAACAAAGTAGGTACTTCCGGCTTTAGTAGATAAATTTTCATTAAAAAAAAAATGTATTATTATAATTTTATAATGAATGTAAATTACTTAAAGCTAATAGTTTTTAATTTAAATAATAAAATCTCAGATTAATTGATGGGATACCTATTTTATGTCATATTAATTATTATTAGTTTATTTTTCTTTGTTTCAGATAATCCTCTATTCATACGGGCATTACTCCATGATTGGATATAATTTATTGTTTAGTAAACATACAATGTATTTTACTTAAAAATATAAAATACTATTTACAAATTTCTATTTATTTCAATTAGAAAATTTCTTTATTCAACAAGATGTGTAATCTATAAACAAAAAATGTGATCCAAATGCAATATACTTATATATATAATACATAGTATATACTTATTCTTAAGCACATATAAAGATAAACATAATATAATTATTCAATTAATACATAAAATACTTTATGATTATCACAAATCTATTCATTTCAATCTATGGTTGGTATATATGTTGGTAGGTATTCAATATTAATTAAGATAAAAAAAACAATAATAATATATGCCATGTTTTTATCAAAAATTAGTTCAATTACTTAACCATAATTTCTATAAAAAAATAAATCACTAAAATTAATATTGAGTATTAAATTATAAAATTTTCGAAAAATAGAGAGATACCTACTAATTTGTCTTTATACAGGATCATTTTCCGTGTACAATGATTTATAGAGTAGTAAATAAAAAAAAAAAAATTCCAATTTCAATCTTTAACAGTTGGTTGCAAATAATATTCCCAGTGCATGAACATATAGATATCTAATAGATACTTCAATAATTAATATATCGTCAGTTCACTGTACCTAAATTATGTTTGGCATACTGCCACTGCAAATCATACAAATATTTAAAGTTTTTAAATGCCCTGTAGAAGCATGATATTGACATTTATGTACTATCACTATATTCATTTGGGATATTGAAATTTAAATGTTTTCATGCTTACTCATATTCCATGGTGGTTGTAATCCTATAAATGTCCAACTAGGTAAATGTATAGTAAAATTTTTCTTTTTGTTTCATACTTTTCTAATATTTCTCTTTGTACATTCATATAGACGTGTATCAGATTAATATTATTAGTTGTAACTATGAAGTATTTGTTTTCATCTATCTAATTTCAATTTATTTCTTTTAACAAATAAAAAGTAATTATTAATATTTAAAACAACCATTACAACTTAAAAATGTGTTAAATACTTAAATGTATTAAAGGAAAACAAGAGAATCACAACCCTTAATAAAAGTAGTATTATTATGTAGGAATATACTGCAGAGTGCTTCTTTTATCAAACAGCATTCATAATTTCAAAATTTATTGACATTTTAAAAATATTTTTTTACATAATTCTAGTCACAATAAAATATTTTTTTTTCATGAAATATATTATTCAAGGTTTTTTTCTCTTTTGATTGACAACATACATTTTTAATTTTATTTGCATAAAAATCAAAATTTGGACAAATAGCTTATGAATTATTACTTATAAGTAGGTATTTAAAGTTCAAGTAAGATGAGTGGAGTGTACTAACCTAACTCCGCTCACCTAAACTTTAAATAACTACTTATATCTCATAAATTACTTGTCAGAATTTCGATTTTTGTGTATCAAAATATTTAAAATACCGGTTCTTAAAATTAAGTGTATACCTACGACACACTTTGTGGTACTACGAAAAGTGAAGTGTGTAGTAAGAAATTTATTAATGTGCTTTAAACTGTTTAAACGATATTTATTTTGGTAAAAGTAAATATAGTAAAATTACATTATAATTAATTAAGGAAGTATTAAATGGCAAATTAATGTTAATTAACTTATATTTATTATTATTATAAAACATTTCTAGCTTATCTATATTATGGATAATATAAAATAACAAGTTATATTGTGACTATTCAAATAATATGATTATAAATAAACTAACAGGTTAGATTCGCCTAAATATTTAACTTATTTTATATACAAATTATAGAAAAAACAATAAAAAAAAAATTAATAGATGTATGAAAAATGTATGAATAGAATTTAACTAATGGAGTCGTGTGGGCTGTCGCGTTATAAATATCGTTGGAGTAGTGAATGAATATTGAGGTTGTAGTATTATAGTGAACCTGCTGAACTGAATATTGTCTATTGAATTATGAAAACTTTTTGATAAGTGTTTAATTGTATTAATTTGAAAGTCTGTATGTATATTTTATTACGTATGAACCATAAGGCATTTTTAATAATTCTTAAAACTTTATTTTAAAGTCGACTACATTCCGCTGTTACGTGTTTACGTCACACCGACAAGCAGTCGGTTATGGGTAGGGACGGTAGGATACGCACTTGTACCCCGTAATACCAACCCACCACCCACGCAACGACTAACAGGTACAGGTGACGACGAGTGACGGTAATAATAATATGCAACGATGACGACGACGACAACGATAACGCTCAACACAGCGCACGCGAATAATTAATAATAATTATTATTATATTACTGGATACTGTGGTGGACTCTGCGGTATGCGCTCTCAGAAAAACAGCGTAGGTAGCTGCCATTCGCCATTCGGTATTTGCATAACCGCATAATATATTATCGCACAATTTTGTCGTTGCACGTTATTACGGATCGGAGTCGAGTCGTTTACGAGCGTTATATAATTACGTGCGCAACGGCCAGCACGCGTTTAATTCGTGCGGCGCTCGAAACGAAACGTTTTACACACCGGACCGCCGTAAATATTATTATTATTGTAATACATTATTATTACACTGTTCTTGACGTCTTTAAAGGTTCCGAGGTTTGCACAATTGCACGTAATGCCGTAATTGTATAATGTTACTATCATTAAACGCGTTACGTTTTAAATATAATATGTTAATATATATATTATATAGGGTATAAGTACCTAGCTGTAGTAAGTATACCTATTGATTGGACGTATCGCACCATCACGCGTATGGTGGCGTTTACTTTATTACTTATAATACATACATCAATTATTATTATGTATAGGTAACCACACACGATCGATTCGATAGCCCTATGACCCCTAAAGGCCATAAATTATTATTATTACCTACTGTCATCAGTTTTTGTTATTTTCGTTTAAATAAATTTATCAATGAGAAACATCTTCAACACGTTGGGCCACGCGTTCTATCTGAAAATTTGAATCGGGTCTTAACCACCTTTTTTTTAAATAAAATATTAGGCATTAGGTAATTGAATTAACAGCTTTTTGTCATTTAAATCAATACGCGTTCGAGTTAAAAATGTAATAAATAATACTAGGTAAATGTTTATATTATATTATGTAAGTGCATACACGAATACGGAATAGGTAGTTATATACATATGATACCTATGTATTCCATGTGTTAAGAGACTTCAATTACCTACTGTATGCATATTTTAATACCTATATTGGGTACACAGAGCAATATTAGATAATACTAAACATTTATTAGTTTATTACGTAAACTATTTAATAACCTCATTAATTGTATCATACTAACCAGCTATAGTATCTATGCATATACAAATAAATATTTAAATACCATGTTTTGTACTATCCGAATTATTATTACCTAATAATAGTTCAGATTATTAATGAATCGCAAAATAAAAATACTTAGAAAACAAGTTCTTGACCCTAGGAAAAAAATCCTTGGAATGTATAATTATCACTCACAGCCATATAAAAATGATTGAATAAGTATTTTTTTTAAACGCTTACAATATTATAAATATTTAATTACAAATAATATAAATGTAGATAGTAATTGTGTTATTTCTCATAAAGTGTAATAATTCGGAGGTATTTTTAAGTCTTACTTTATTTCATTATTTGTGGTTATATTATTCAAAATATTAAAAATAAAATAAAATAATTATTAAACAATAATTATTGAATAATATGCAATTAATTATTACACTATTTCCTAATATTGTGATTTGTAAGTCTGTTACCAAGTGCTTTCAATATTTTTTCCGTTATCCTCATTTGTCCAAGTTTAGTAGTAGGTACTTTTATTGTTTTCTCCAACGTTAAAATGTCCATAGCATAGTCGTCGTTTTCTAGGTAGGTACTTATTTGTATTGTGTATGTGTATCGCACATAATAAAAATGCATACTGATTACTGAATACCAGAATACCTACCTATCTATTGTGGTTTACTGAATATCGTAGCTAATTTTCATTGTATTGTACAATATTTGAACGCTTGGTCAAACCTATTTATTATAATTTATAAAATAGTGAGTGTCCAAATCATAGACTTATTACTGGCTATTAGTTAATAGCTCAAAATAGGTCCAAATTCTGTTCGTGAGTCCATTACAGATAACTGATAAGGGTAAAACGGTATAGAAGACAGATGTATATTACTTTAAATTATCAAAGATACATTGTACATGACATTAACATTTGAAATCTTTCCATTATCGTCAAAATATTACGAAACACATTTTATTTCGGAGATTTTTTTCAGAACTTCTGAGGTTTTCTACTGGCAAACTGGATATTTTTTTCCGATGATTTTTATTACGTAGGTACAATACCTTAATAACCTAACCTTAATATATTTTAATAATACCTTTACTGCAGCAAAATGAAATGTTCAAAGTATTTGAACTTTGAACTAATTTAAACTATATTTTTAGGCATTTGAAATTATTGAATTGTTTTACTTATTTATTGTTTTTTTACAAAATATATTCATTGTATTAACTTTTTGTCAATTGTTTTTCGTTATTAAGAATGACGGTTGAAACCATTTTGAACCATTTAAGTTTTTATCCATATTTTGTTATACCTATACGGCTATACGTTATATTAGTAAATTAGCTACACACGTTACATAATATATTACTATATAACAATTGACTACTAATATTTAATACTCAGTAGTTAATTAATAATCGTAAAAAAAAATATATAAGACACGAATAATATTTGGGGGACTATACAACATTTTGCAAAAAGGTAGATAATATCGTTAAGCAAAACTAAGTGTTTATAGTTTATTAATGTTTACGTATAATAATGTTTTTTTCCATCAAGCTTTTTTGTATTAATTAAAATAAATATTGTTTTAGTAGGTACTTGCATAAGGAATCATGAATACCGTTTTAAACATGTCGTACGACCTTGTATACTTAAATATAATAAGTTATAACTTACAAGTCATAAAGCCATAATTCACATACATCGTACCTGTCGTACCTAAAGAACTAGCTACATATTATATCTATTTATCGACTGGATTATTGAAAATTATGTTGTCTAGTTAATATATTTAGTAATTTATTCTTTAAGTCTTCAAGAAGATGTTTGTGTGGGGCCTATGAAATATTATATAGGTAGTAATGTATAGTAAATAGTACCTATACCTTATGTGTAGCGTGTGGGTATTGTAGGTATTATAATTTATAAGTAGTAGAAACTAGGAGCATTAAAACAGTCTACAGAATAGATGGCCATCCAGGAAACTAAAACTATAAAAAAAGTAGGTACCTAGTTACTAGTCATGCATTTATTTAATGACTAGAATTTGGTAATTTTAAAATATGTCAACTATTTTTGAGTTCAATAAAGTTAAAAATGTATTTACCGATTTCTCTCAGTTTGATTGTTATATGTATTTTATTTATCTATACGGCTACAATTGGTGACAATAAAAGTTAGATCACTGTTTCTACAATTTTTTTAATTTCAATAATATGTATTTATTTGTATAAATTACGTGAGAAAAATATGAATTTATTAAATTAACATAATTTAAAACATGATAAATCTATAAACAAAATTTGTTTTCTATTTAAATATTTATAATAATCTATAATTATATATTCAGTGCTCAAATATTATACCAATATTTGTTAAAATTTTATATCTTCTAGAGTAAAATAATAATTTATTGTATTTATTTTATTTTAAAGTCGTATTCGTATATATTACATTTATAATACAAGGTTAACCGCTGTTTGCAACATTTTTTACTATATCTAACCATTATAAATTATAGTTATAGTTATAATATCCGGTATGGTCAATAAACTGATTAATTTTATTGCAAGGATCGATAAAAAAAAATTGACGAAAGTCACATTATGTGACTAAAGCCATATGGCTTTAAGTTTAAAAAATACAATCGTTCAATTCATCAAAGACCCAAACACCAAATTATAATTTTTACCATATTTTGAACAAAATAATATTTTAACAATGTATCGATAAATAAAATGTATTTAATAATATTTAATATTATTAAAATACAAATATCAGCGACAATTCCATTCTAGAAATTATCTTTCTGGTTAAAAAATTAATATGATTTGCGTATCGTATTTATTTTATAAAAGATCGAATTATTTGAATTAGATATTCTTCAATAGTTAATATCGATAAATTAAATAATAATGCTATGAATTAATATTGATATAATTAAAATACAATATTATATTGATGCCTTACGCTTTTGGGGTAAACATTATAATACAGAATCGGACTAGTGTCGTTGTCGCGGACGGTACACATGGCACGCATCTGTCCGTTAACACACTAATAACCTTTCTAATAACAATAAAAAATTCCACCAGAGTAAACACTGACCGCGACCACCGCGAACACCGCCACTGACAGCTATCGTCTACCAGTTACCATCGCCGCAATCGTTGCTGTAGGTTCATGTTATTTTTTTTCGTACGCTAATTTTTTCTGTTTATTTTTTCATTTTATCACCATTTAAACTTTTTGTCTGTAAACGTTCGATGTGAGATCCTAATGTAAAACACTTTAAAATTACGAACTATTAACATTGGCAGACGGGAGATTCTCGTTTGCTCCCCGTAAGTGGTATTATTTTAAATGACTTGTGTACTTCTATTACCTAAAGTTATTACAAGATCTCACGAATCGCCATTTCGTTAGTCTTATTCTGTGAAACATTCAGATTTTTATTTTATTTGCGTTTTTGTGTATCAAAACTGTGTCGGTACTACTCGAAACGTTGTGATCGTTTGTGAAGTTGGTCCCTTGAACTTTAAGACGAAATTTTTTTTTTTACGTTTTGTTATTCCTCGGATTCCTTGATGACGCGCTCATCTGCCGCCAATGTACCTTGTCGGTTACTAAAGTGTTATTTGTCGATCTGTAATTACACTAATCTCATGTGAGTAACAAACATGGCTGTCCCGAATAATTTCAAGCCTTACCTCTGTAAGTTGGATGATAATGATTGTATTTCGCTTGTGAATATAATCAAGTCATTCAATACACCTGTCAGCGAGGAACATGCATGGGCATTGTGCTATCAGTGTGCCAAGTGTTTCAAGAATGCTTTTGAACGAGACCCAAACAAGTGTCGAGTGGTTAAGAACTTAGAAGAAGTCCTTATCCATAAGGATGGATTCATACATCCCAGTACCATTCTGAATACTGAAGAAATAGGTATGTATTGTAAATCATTTGTGTATTTAAATATTTTTAATTTTAAAATTTAAACTAATATTATGGAGTGCAATTTTTATTTTGTTTACAAAGGTAGTTCACACTAATTTTTAATTATTACTAATTCTAAATATGTACAGATCACATCAATTTTATTTTTTCTGTAAGTTTTGAAATAAATAAGTTTATTTTGAATTTTTTTAAACTTTCAAGGTGACTTATCATCAGAGTATGCATAGTAACTATTATTGATTTACTAGTTACTATTTGCTTTTCATTAATTCACTGTGAACTTTAAATCTGACAAAGTTAGAACTGTTTTTACGGTTTTAAATACAATTTCACATGCATTTACTTAAATATTGTTGTACATGTGAATGGGTCTTAATGGCATGCACCCATAGAGAATAATTATCATCTATAAGACTATAAAATAGTTAGGTAATATCTTTAAAATAGTTACTACCTAAATACCTATATATTCATAGTTAATACATAGTTTATATATATTATATTGATAATTTAAAGTGTCTATACTTTTTGGATAACTATTTGGTAAGTAGTTATGTAATATTTGTATTCTAATAGGCTAGGAATCCGTTTTTAGACTTTTCTAATCTAAGACTAATTAGAAAAAAATTTTTTTATTTTGTAATATAATATGACAAATTTTATTATAGACCAAGATTAAGTAAGTTTCTACAAGAGTCCAATTTTCACCTAGCTTTTGTATACACTTAATGTAAATTGGCCAGGCTGACGAGCTTATTTTTAAATTACGATGTTAACCAGTCAGGTTTCTGGGCTACCTATACATTAAACAATTCCCAAATCCTCTAAATAAATTCTGAAATGAAAAAATTGTTAAAAGATAATACCTAATCTTATGTCAAATTTTAATTTAAAAAAATTCTGTATTTTTTTTGCTTAATAAACATTAAACTTATAAAGTTTTAGATAAAAACAAGGTTAGGTTAAGTTAATTTTTCATCAAAATAAACCAGGCTAAACAAGCTAATTCTTATATAAAAATAATTTGGATAGGCATGGGCTTTAAAAATCAGTTTTATGCAGAGCTCTAGACTACTTGCATATCTTAGAGATTAACAATTTAACTTCTGAATTGATATCGAAATGTTTAAGGTACATATCATATATTTGTATTATACATTGTGTAAATATAAATTTTTTTGTTTGTTTTAGTATGTTTTAACCCAATTTAGATTTGTTGAAGTAAATAATTAACTTTCCACTTACTAAGTTCTGTGATAAAAATAAATTTATCTAATAGTTACATTAAAATAATAATTTTCTACCTTGATTCTTACTAAATCCATAAATCTAACCACACTCTTTAATATATTAAAATATATATATGAACAAGTAATAGGTTTGTGAAAACATTGTTATCAATAACAAAATCAGCTTATAAAACTTAACATGCTGACTGCATACGTGTTTTTGTGGGTTTTGTTCCAGTATATATATATTAATATTTAAATTCTAATAAATAAAAATATTCTCATATATTTAGGCTATACTTATGAAAGGTGTATAAACACATAATATTTTAAAAACTATTAAACCACTCCAATCAGTGATTATTTAAATTTTAACTATGTGTACCAAATAGTATCAACCTCATTGCTGAACAACCCTAAGGATGCTAATAAGTGATAAACATGATATCAAAAATAATACTGGCAAACTCATCCATTTTATAAACATTAAAAATTATATATTAGTTTTAATTTTATTTTACATACCTGACGGCATACTAAATTTTATAAATGTTATATTTTTAAGAAGATAAAAATAAATAATTGTTAGAAGACTTAAACAGTAAATATAAGAAATATGTTATGAAAATGTGTGTTTATTAAAATATTATTGACTATTTACACAATTAATCACTTAAATTTAATGATTGATCATTAACAGTGAACTATTAGTTCCTTAACATGAATTTTCCACTAAATTTTGGTGAAACATTATTTATTTAATCAATTTTTATGAAACTCAGCTATTGGCATAAATATAGGTATACTTAATACCATTTTTATTTTAATTGATCGTATCTAAATTAAACTAATTTAATTTAATTAATTTCCATGTGCCTATATTTGTCTGTTTTATGAGATTAAATATTATATACCTAGGTACCTGTAAACATAAATAGATTTATACTTAACAATAAATTTGAAACATTCAATAGTGTTAGATATAATTTAAATTAATTACATTTTTTTTCTAAGGTTATTTACAATTGTGGTCATATTTTAGTGTTGACTCAAAAAGTATTGTTAGTTAACGAGTGATGATTATATAAATAGAAAACATTTTGATTTTGCTTAAATATATTTATACAGGTGTACTAAATTTTTATAATAATCCAGAAAAAAAACCATATTATAAAATGTAAATCTTGCAGTAAACATCATTAATTTTGTTTTACAATAAATTTAAAAAATAATATTTTACAGAGGGTATTTTATTTAGGTACATAACAATTGACATTGATTAATTTTTTATTGATTTTTATTCTTTTTATAATAAAACCAAATAACTACATTGGACGGCCAATACATAAGATATATTTTGCAATAGTTTATGTACCTATGAATATTAAATACATTTAAAAGATACCAATTAATAGGTTAATTACTTTTATAATTAAATCTATATTTAATTGGTTATTCAAGTGTTTACCAAACATTGATAAAGACCTAGGTATTTGTTTATATGATTATAATTTATGTATGACAAATTATTCAGTTCCGAATTTATATGTATTTTGTGTGTTATTTTTGAACAGTCCAAAAAATAGTTAGATAAGCTATAAGTTTAAATTACAGCCAATAAATCTGAAATATAAAGTTTTATTTTGCATATTTTATCATTTTTTGATGTGTTCTGTGTATTTTACAAATTCCTACCTAAGTACTTCATATCTATTTGTTTTACTATTGTTTGTTGGTTTTATCTATGATTTGTAAGGAATTTATTTTCTCATATCTTTTTGTCATTAATGTTGCTCCATACATGGTCAAGGCAGCAAGATCTCTTGATGCATTTTATACCAATATGATTCATTTAACATGTCTCGCTCATGAGTTACATCTGATTCCTGAAAACATTCAGGTTCACAAATACTAAAATTATTAAAAATTTTGTTTTATTTTATTCTATTATATTAATAATTTAAAATAAATGTTAAATATAATAAGTTAATAAATATAAAATAATTTTTTTTTTTCATAATTGTAATTTTAATGGCTATAGGTATTTCAACAAAATAAGAGTATATTTTATAGTGCATATTTTTAAGGTTTTTAGAGTATTTAAATCTGAGCGCTATTAGGCATAAATACTAATAAATAATTTTGTCTATAACTACACATGTTATAAAATAATAACCAAATATAATTTTTTGCTAATTAATATCTCATGTAATACTTTTACAATTTAATTTGATTTATCTATTTCATCTTAATATTTAAATATTATATGAATTGCATGTTAGATTATTTTAGAATTATCAACTATAAATAAAATAAAATAATTCTTTTATATAGACATACAAACCTACCACCAAGAAATAAATATTAAAATATAGGATAGGTAGCTTCTTTTAAAATATTTCCTGAAGTGATTTTGTATATCTATCTGTGTACTTGTATTTCTGTATGTATTTATAGCTTGATTTATAGTTAAGAACTTTATTTGTAATTAGCTCATGATTGTTAATATGGTTTTTCCTTAATGTATTTATTGGATAGTTAATTCTTTGAAAACTAGCTATACTAGCTAAATTAACATTAAAAAATAAATTAAGATTTATTTTACTAATTCTCTTTTATTTACTTCAACAGCAATTTTCTCTATATTGTAGTGTATATTAATTTATAGAAATTTAGAGTATCAATTTTAATTACTAAGTATCTTTACAAAAATAATACATTATATTCGAGTGTCCAGGTAAATAGGTGTATTTATTTTATTAGATTTTCTAGATAATGAGATATAATGTAAACCCATACACCCATTTAATTCTGTTTTGTTATAATTATTGTAAAATTTAAATCACAATATAGGTTTGTATTATGGCTTATCCTCAAAACTATATTCAACCATAATTTATTATTATTGATCTAGATTCAAGATGATATAATATTTAAAAATATGAGGAAAATTTAACCCGGGTTGAATTATAATGGAACCTACCTCCTTTCTTTAATAATAAAGCTTTTTAAAATATGATTTTTGACATTTTTTGTACTACATAAGTATGGTTCTGTGATGATACAAATTCTATTTATTTTTTTCAAATGGAACCACCTTTTTTATTTATAAATTGTTATGCACATTTATTTTTTTTTTGAAAATGTTTATGCATATTAATGTATTTAAATTAAAATTTGATCTAATGATTTCTGAGTTATTAAATGTTTAAGTATAAAAGACAATGGTTAGTATCTACAACCTGATGGTCAAATCTCTCGTCTAACTTATTTCATGAATATAAACAATGTACTGATTAATTTTACTTGAGCTATAGTCTTAAACCATTATTCATTTATACTTAAAATTTAATAACATTAAAACCATTCGATAACATTTTGATTCTGATACACGTTTTTAAAATAAAAAATATCTACCCAATAATTTAAAGAAATAGGGGGTTCCCATTTATAAAACTGAAGTTTTATCGTTACAGAGCCATCCTTAGGTGATATAAAAATTCCCAAGTATTTGTAAATATGTCTTCAAATGTATTTAAAATTTTCAAAAATCAAAATTTATAATTTGAATAATTCTTTTATTAATAAAAAAAAAGAAAGTAGGTTTCCTTGGTAAATAACCCTGTATGTATATGATTCTATTATTGTTAAAGTTGATCATACACAAAACACAGTTTATCTTTATTTACTTTTTTTATGCTTAAAAATAATTGTAGGTATTTATAGCTAATTAAAAACTTGTTACAGTGGATCATCTAGGAGAGGAAGGGGGGCTCTTCCACAACTAGTAAAATATTTTTTTGATTTCTACTTGTTATATAATTATATACATTTTAATTTATTCTATAGGTATAGAAATTATATCAATTTGTAATAAAGGTATAAATCACTCCCTTCCTTAAATTATTGTTTTTATGCATTTGGTTTACAAGATAATTTAGTTTATACTGTTACACAAATTAATTAATGTTTTTGTATAATTAAGAACTAGAAAATAAAGTTAATATATCTTTTTATGTTTATTTTAGCTGAATCTCATGAAAATATTGAAAAACTTAGTAATGAAAATGATAGTAAAACTATACTTCAACATCATGTAAGTATTAAGTTCCTGTTTTTAATATGCAACTATATAGAATGAGCAAACTTAAAATAATTATTGATTAAAGTAATACTATATTTAAATTACTTAACTATTTAGTATGATAAATGTTTAACTAATAGTTATTTAATGAAAATTAATAAAAAAATAAACAAGCAAATAACTAAAATAATTTGAGAATTTTTTTTAAATAAAAATTAATGAATTTCTGTACATTTTATTTGTAATAGTTACAAATAAAATAAAGATGTTTCTAAAATTACTTTTATGGTTTAATATCTATAATTATTATAGAAACATCTTTATTTTATTTCGTATTGGTCTGATAAATATTTACATACATATTTTTAATCTGATTAAATATTTAACATACATTTAATTTTACAGCACTTTGTTTTTACATTATCTAGTTAATTCAATAGGTATCGTATTATTTAAAATTTATAATCGTAAACATTTTTGGTCTGCTATTAATTTATAATTACTGAAATTTTCATTTTAGTATTATGAGAACTATGTATTGTTGTATAAATTAACATAATTATTAATGCATAAAAATGAGTAGGTAATAATTAAAATATTTTCTTTTCTTTCTTAATCAATTAGTGTCTGTAGACTTTATATACTAAATAATTTTATGTCTGTTTTTAAAACATATTTCCTTATGTTTTTAATATACCTGCTTTCTGTTTTTTATATTAAATTAAACTGTTCATTTTATACTTTATATTATACAACATTTAAAATCTCTTATATTACCTATATGTTTATACTCATAAAGACTAGAAGTTCAAAAATAAAAATTTAATGAACTATATATCAATATTTTTTTTAATAGAAAATAAAATTGTCACACAAATTATGTTCACATTTTTTTTTTTTTTTTGAAAAAGATATTACAATACAATTCTATTAATCAAAATATATAACACACAATATGATATTTTAAAATGTGTTAAAAATATTTACTGTATCTACATTTATAAATAAAATTAATTTACAAATTTACAAATTTATAAATTTCAATATTTAAAAGAAATTAATTTTGTCATATATTTTCATAATACTAAATAATTTAGGTGATTGCCAGTCTAGGATATATTGTTTTTCAAGTACTAGATTTTGGAATTGACGAAGATGAAGAAAGGTCATTAAATCCTGAGTTGGAATCATTAATTAAACGAATGATAGCTTCGTGTAAGTATAAAAAGTAATATTAAATACTAAATACCATACATTTTAGTAAATAAGAAGAATTATTAAATTAAATAATTTGTTAGAATCATTGCATATAGTTCCATATATATAGCCTATATTTTTATTGATTATTACATATATTTATTATAATTTTAATATTATATAACTACAAGTATTCTTTATAAGTCAATACTGTACCTATGTGAGATAGGGTTGTGGTTAGGAAAATAGTTTAAAATTAATATAAATATTTTAAAAATTACATTGTGTAAAATAAATAATAATATGCGTATTGACAAAAAGTTTCAAGTCCTTAAAAATAATGTTTTAAAAATTACAAATTATTAAATATTATTTAAATAATACTTCGTATAAATTTGAAATGAAATTCCTGTTAAAAATTTTCTATTTTTATATGGGAGGTTTTCATAAAAACAAATTTTTAAGAATCTAGTATTAAATTTGAACTTAATCATAAAATGCTTACACAAAAAAAAAATGTAGTTAAGTATTTAAAAAAATTGTACCTAATCCTGTGTTAAATTTTTAAGCATTTTTTACTGATAAGCAAAAATTGCATCACACACAAGTCAAAAATAAAAAAAATAAAATAAATCAACTACTAATCATTTCTAAAAATACCAAAATAAATGTTATGAAGTTCATTATTTTTATTATTATTATAAAATTATCAATTTACTGAGTTCTCCATTATAAAATAGATTTTTTTTTTGTGGTTTTTGACTTAAATATTTTTTAAATCTATGTTTATTTTTATTAAAGATATTAATTTGTATAGGTTATGCTTATGTCATATAAGTATAATAATATTTATTGAACACTTTAAACTTATACAATCTTCTTTTAGTTAATTTAATTTGATTTAAAATATTAAGGTAATTAGAATCTGTGTTATAATTTTATTTTAAATAGTGTAGTACTTGAAATTTAATTATGCATTGTTGTACCATCATTTTTATATTTTATGTATTTACATGTTTATTATTTATTGGTCTTAAAAATTCTAAAATGTTTTAAAGTATGCTGTAAAATATGTATTGTGTATCTTATAAGGTGATACATATAATATTTTTAGTAAAAGTTATCAATAATAATTATTCTTTGTGATAATTACAATTTAAATTGTATACTAAAAACATTTTTTTTTTTTTTTTTTTTATTGAATACTTACTATATACAATAGTTTCTATGATGAATAAGGTAATTTTATTGTTAATGATCTGATGAATATAATCATGGAATTTCAAATGTATAAACTTTCCATTCACTATTATCCATTTCTACTTATTCTAGCAGTTGTTAGAACTGAGTACTGACTACTTAAAAGAAGTGTGTTACAATTGCCATTACTTTCCATGAAAAGTAGTCCATTACAAAGAAGATTATTTTTCTTTTCCTTCATAATACTATATATATGCATCATTATTTTATAGTCAACATAAAACAACTTATTGATAATTAATTTTGATTGTATATGGTATACCTAAACTACAACATATATAATATATTCAATAGATATATTATTATAATATATTTAATTTTAGCAATATTTATAGAATAAATTTGGTTTTTTACAATAAAAACTGGTATGTTGATTGATCATTGTTTTTTGAAACTATTCAAAAGTTGAGTGTTAATTTTCAGAATATTCTAGAATTTTCTGACTACTTAGAAATTGTGACCTTAATCAGTAATTTTATTGGGAACATAGAGATGTTTTTTGTAATTTTTACAGTTATTTTTCCAAAAAATTAGTTGAGTATTATAAACTACTGTCAAATTAAGTATTTGCATAATTTTTAAAGTTTAGTACATATCCAATTATAAATTATATGATAATTAATATCATTATGTTAAATTTAATATATTTATATATTATTGAAAATTAATCTTTTATCTTCTTTCATTAGTATATCATTTTATTTATGTATCATATTTATACTATACTAGGATATTAATTTTTCTACTTTAGAGTTTTTTTCATGTTATTTGTTCTCTTACAAACCTGTTTATCTAATAGATTAACTATTTTACCTGATTCCAGATAAAATATATTAGCTCGAACAATTCGGTTAACACAGTAAATATTCTATAGATTTTGTTTAAATAAATATTATCTTATCAATATTTTATTTAGAAATATTTTTTAATTTTTCGTATAAGCTCATTTTAAATATTATTTTATCATTCATTATTAATTATTACTGTGTTATACTTATGTTTTTTCAATCAACAACAGATACATTTTTTTAAATCCTCATTTTAATTACTAAGTTTTCTTTTTAAATTTTCAGTTGAATATGGTTTGCACGCTCAATCTATGGACCATGGACAATCAGGTGAAACTGACGATGAAGGAATTGAAAGAGATTCTGCTGAATGTGAAGAAATATCTCGAAATAATTTTGCTACTTTTGATGATGTGTTAGAGGTAAATATTATTTTTTTCATTAAAAATAAAAATTTTTATTAGATATTTAATTTTCATTAAAGGTGTTCAAAATTTCAAAATTAGAGAAATACTAATTTCATAATTTTGGGATCTTTCAGATTAAAAATAAATACATAACATTCTAGGTAATCTGTTTTGCTATAGTATAAAACAATATTTTTTATTTCTTAAAGAATTTTCATTACGTACTATATTATTATAAAAATAGTTTATAGTGAATACTAAACACTCAGCATTCTAGATCTTCAAGAAGATATGTATATGTGTATAAATACATAGCAATTAGTCGTTATGTAATAGTCCGAGTTTGATTTTAGTTAATATTTATCGCTGGTATATCACACATATATCTTTAACAATTTTGAACTGATAAATATTGATACACTAAAATTTCTTTCTTAAAAATCTATTTTTGTACTTTTTAATTCATTTGTTAAAATGTATAAAAAATTATTTTTATCCAAAATTAAGAAGTCAAGTTTTTTTCCTAAACCCATTTAAATTATAAAAGTGTTTCTTGAGCACCTTTATTGTAAATATTTCTTACTTTTATTTATATATTTTGGGTTAAATTTATTTTAGGAATGTAGTAGACATATAGGTGTGTCAGGATTGGGTTCTGAAACTCATTATAAAGCTGTATGCAGAGCATTAGTAGCAGAAGCTCTAGAGCTTTCATCATTTCTAGATAAATTATCTGATGGATCTGTCAGTTTAAGACACAGAAATTCAACTTCAGCTGAATTAATTACATTGGATTACAGTGATTGGGTAAGCTATCAAATGCTTAATGAATATTCATTATTGTAGTTATTTTATAAATTAACTTTTGATTATCTTAAGATTATAATTAATTTCAATTAAAGAATAGTGTTAATCTTTAATATTTGTGTTCACATAATTAAGTTTAATTATGAGTAATACCTACAGAATTATGGCTTTAGGAAGTGAATTTGTAAGTTAATATAATTTATATTTATTATGGCACTAAAACTAACACATTTGTTGTGTTACTTTTTGTTAGCCCAACCGCAGAAAGTGGAGTATTTTACAAGTATGTCTAGATTTTAGTAAAACAAATTACATTTTAATATAACTCAAAATAATAATTTTGATTTTTAAGTTAATACAGGTTCAAGTAATTTTGGTACTAGTTTGTTATTGCCTCGCCACCAATTTGTATAAAATTTATTTTCTACCAGTTGACTTTAAATCAGCAGTCTTAAATCTAAATATTGTTATTCATTCTCAATATTTTTTTTTATATATCTTTATGATATCTTACATGTAGATTAGTATAACATGTGATTTTTTTATAGAAAACGTTATAGTTTATAAGATATTTGAAGTTGTATTTTATTATGCTTGAACCATGTTAGTGTGTTATTGGCTTATCACTATATTTTATATAATAGTAATTTAAAATTCATACCTATCTTATAAACAGTATTAACTTATTTAAAAATTAATTTTAATAAGTTATTTTCTGCAATATTTATTACTGGCATTCAATTTTTACTACAAAAATTATTGTTAAAACTAATAAAATGTGTGACATTTAAGGATTTTTTGAAAACTGTCAACATTTTTTTTATGTACTATTATAAAATATTATTTGTTAACTATGTTACTATTAATTGTAATCAATGTATTATTATTATTAACCATTATTTGAAAGTCTTGTAAATTGAAATACTGTGTAGAAAATATCATGGTACAAACTACAAAAGACAATCATTTGATGACAGGGTGGTAAATAGTATATGGTGAGAAATAACAAACAAGTACTTATGAAGATGTGGTTTATTTTACATTTGAACTTGTTGAGATATCATATTTTTATATTACAATTTCGATAATTATTACATTACTGTTTTTTATTCTAAATAATATGTATGGTTAACAATTTAAAAATAATTTATAGGCACGTTTATGGATACAATTGATACGGGAACTACGACGTGGTGTACAATTGAAAAAAGTTGATCAAAGGTCTCGTGCTAGAGATGAATTTGTTGAATATGCATTAACCCCCTATGAAATGTTAATGGATGACATAAGGTCAAGAAGGTATACTTTAAAAAGAGTTACCCCTCCAGAAATTCCTGCCAGAATTCAAAGAGATGCTCATGATGCAATACTTGAATTTATTAGATCAAGGCCGCCATTAAAAAGTGTGAGTAATTTTAAAAAACTTTTTTAAATAAGATAATTTTTAGAAATTTTATTGCATTATAATAGAGTATTTTTATTTATTTTGTTTTTGAATGGTCTAATGACAATCTATCAATATACTGACTTTGAGTGATTTTATTATTTTTAATTTTTAAAATTATAGATAAAACTATTAGACATTTTTTTTAAACAAAGACATTTAGGAAATAATGGCAATATTCAAAAAAAGAATATATATTTTAATAGATATATAAATTTATTGTGTTTAATATCAAGTTTATTATTTTACTAGTGAAGCAAATAGATAACTTACATTCACTGATTTTAATGCTGTAGAAACCTATCATTTAGTGAAATTGTGGAGTTTGCATTGTTAATTACATATTATATTGCCCTAAACTTTTGTTAAATTCTGTGTTAGACTAATGTCAAGTATTTTATATTTGTTGACTCACCAAATATTGTTAAAATAGTTGTAAATTAATTTTAATTAAGTTGAATGTAACTAATATTTAATAATATCAGTGCTTTTCATATTTGTAAAGCTTTGCATACATTTTTACAACACTATTGTATCGATGTTTGTAAATAGTGTAGTATCTGGTGGTGACCTTGTTTTAACAGATATTTAAAGTTATTCTTTAAACCTTTTTAAATAGAAGTTATTACAATAATAATTCTAAAATTAATTAATGTCAACATAGTCATTGTAAAATTGTATATTGTTCTAAGAAAAAGTGAATTTATTTATCAATATATTATAACAATGTTTCATTAAATATTTATATTAATATTTAAGTATACAACAAATAATTATTCAATTTAATAATGTATAATTAAAACTAGATAAGCTCAATGCTTAAAATTTTGTAGCGCTTTGTTAAACCTAACTAACTTGCTCATATTTGTATTAATATTTAATAATTTATACAAATATTGTTCTATCTATTTTGTCATGTAAATGATTTATTATAAGTTATTACTTGTTATATTACTTATTTGAGTATTAATCTTTATTTTAGGCTGCTGCAAGAAAACTAGCTCCTCGTCGACAAGATAAACTGTCACCAAGGGAACATTTATTGGAGTGTATAAAAAGTGGAAACGTCAAATTGCGTTCTACTTCATTAACCAGTAAGCTCATTGAATTTTAATTATAACACATTTTTATTTTTGTTTTTTTTTTAACATTGTTAAAACATTTTATACTATTAATTATTATTACATAAATTATTTGATGTTGTTCTATATGTGCCCAGTTTTAATTTTGTTTTTACATTTATTTAGAAAGCCCTTTTCGTAATATTAAATCATCTAGATCAATGTCAAGTCCTCCAAATTCTCGTACTAATAAATCAAAAAGTAAATTATTTCATTTGTTTAAAATTTAATATTTCTATATAAATTAATTTTAAATTTTTGTTTAGTTCACTTTGACAATTCATCTTTGAATAATTCAGAAGAAGAATATATGCCAAACCAATCTATCAAAAGTATGCTTGATACAAATAAAGAGCGCAAGCTTATAAAAGTGGATTTTTCTGCATTAGCACGTCTAGTAGTATGTTTAATAACACATTATTTTATTTAAATATTTTTGTTGTTTATGTGTGTGTTTTTTTTACATTCAATTTTTAGAGTTCTGATTCTGAAGACGATTTTGATGAGGATGATGAAAATAACACATTCAAGACTACTACAGTGGAAAAAACAGAAGAATCCACTTATTTGGGCGTGACCACTCAAGGTAGTGATTCCCAACCAAACAACTGTGATTTGCACTTTCGATTAAAAACATTGTCACCAACCTCATCCTGTGTGATATCTTAAGATAATTTATCTTACTTTAAGTTCTTGTAACATTCCTAGTTCTTTTTATGTTTATTTAAATTTTTCTTTTTGTTTTTTTATTTCATCATTTTATTGTTTATGTTAAAACCATTTAACCATTGTGATTTTGTGTTGTGGTTGTCACTGTACCACCCAGTCATATTTTCAACATTATAAGACATTTTAAGCTACTTAATTATTTAAAATACAATTTTTCGTACAGTCTGAATACTAAATAATATTATAATCCAAATAAGAAAAAAAATATTGTTACAATTTAAATCTTAAATTATTCATACATATCTGAAAAAAATATTTATAAATGTTGTATTATATTTTGTACATAAATATGAGGTGATTGATTTATGAAATTAAGGATTATTTTTTTCTAATAAATTTACTTTCCACATTTATAATTTACTGCACCACGATCAACACTTTTGCTTCATCTGTCTTGGTAATTTATGTTTATGATTTTTTTTTTTTTTTTTGTAAATATTTTATTTAGGTACAGAATTTTATTTTGTAGAATTAAACATTATGTTGAAACTTAAAAGACCAGCTGTTATGTATAATTTAAACAGAATAGTATAAAATTATATGTACAAAATCCAGGTAAGTTTAATTGAATATTTCCGTTTTGGGTAGAATTTTACTTGATCATCCGTAAATTAAGGCTTATGATTTTTTTTTTCCTATGCTTGCTATAATAACATTTAACCTTAATACTAAAACTCCTCTTGTATTCTTAACATATTATTATTAATGTATATAAAAATCCTTTTAAAATATAACTAAGTCTTTATTACAATACTTAATAAATTTAAAACAATTTATGTAGCTATAACTAATTCGATTTTTATTCGTGTTGCAATTATTATCATAGTGATAAAATATCTGCGTATCATTAACAATGCATAATTACAAATATATTTTAATAATTTGTCATACAAATAATATTACATTTATTTAAGTGTTAAAATAATTTTATTTTACAATATTAATTATGATTATGGTTTATATTTTAATTAATTAAATTAATTGTAAATTGCTTACTTAATAATTTATATTGAATAGAGTTATATTCAACTAAACTTATAAATTGGGAACAAATAAAACTAATTTATTGTGCAGTTGGACATTGAAATAAATAATTAGTATTTTGTTGTTTGCATCATAACATATTAATAAAATGTAAGATTATTTGATTCTGATATTGTTGATTGTAGAAAAAGAAGAAAATCACGGACTTACTGACACAAAACCCAATAAAAATATTCATGCACTAAGAAAACAGCAACGAAGGCACACAATTGCTGATCAATCATCTCTGTCTTTTATCAAACCAATGGGTGGATTGTGGAAGCAAACTCGTAGACAATCTATGTACAAAAACACTTTGCCTACTGTAAGTGGTTCTCTTCTTATTGTCTATATTCAACATTTATCGATAATAAAAATTTCACGCCATGCATATAAGAAATTAATATTATCATAGTTTATTTTATGCAATATATATGTTGTCATACTACTTTTAAAATTGGTATTTGAAAAAAAGTTTTAAAATGCTCATAACTTGCTTTTAAATTTACTTACAATAGAAGCCTATAAGATAATATAAGATTAATAACTAAGTCTAAAAATAGATTAATTAACTAATAATATTGAAATTTAACAACATGCAAATTTACAAGCAAGTAAATTTATAAGAATGAGATATATGTGGGGTTTGGCATCTTCTTTATACTTTCATAATTTTTTAACTGTTAATTAATTAAAAAAATTCTATATAAACTATTTAAAAATAATATTTACCTTTATTTTTATTAGTATCAAACAATAAAATAAAACTAGGAAATTTTTGAAGTTTTATTTGTTATTTATTTAATCATTTTAATAATATCTGAAGATGGCTCAGGTTGAAACTAGTAATTTTTTAATTATTCACTTATATGCTATTATTTTAATAAACTATTGTTTAAAACATATTTGTTTTTGTTAAGTTAATCATTTTGTTGTAAATTAAGTTTATTGAATTAATAATTATGTTTATAGAGTGATTGTTTGACTTTGACTCTGCAAGAACTTATACATATTCGTAGTGTACTTACTAAAGCAGAAATAGAAAGTTTACCAGTTGAAGGAAATTTCAAAGAAGATGTTGAAAATCGAAAAGTACATATTAATTTTATATTAAAATGTTTGAAACAGGATTATAAATATTTTCTTTATTTTAGGTTTGCTTCTTATGTATGAAAACAAGGTTTGGCATTTTTGGACCATGGGGGCAAGAATGCAAAATGTGTCAACGTACAATATGTTCAAAATGTTGTACCAAGGTAATATATTTAAAATTCTATAATTATGTATAAACGTTGTTTACTAATGTTTTAAAATAAATATTTATTATAATATAGATGCGTATGCCTACTGATCATTTGTCCCAAATCCCGGTTGTAGCACTCAGTCCCAATGTAGCAGTATCGGACCAAAATCCTTGGTGGTCAAAAAGTAGTTGGGGCAGTGCTCCATCTAGTCCTCAAAAAACGTTGATGGTTGGTTGTCCCAATAATAGTATGTCTGCAAGCTATCATGGTTCATCTACAGTCACACAAAATATCACTCGGTAATAACCTCTTACTTTAAACCCATTGTTGTAAAGGAAAAATCTATTTTTTTTTTTTTTTTTATTAATATTTATTGTTCCAGAACTAAGTATAGTGCACAAATGACTGTTTGCTTAGATTGTAAGACAATGGTACTGCAAGAAATCAAAACATCTAGAGTGAATCGTTCAAATTTACTTCGCCATTTAACACTTGACTTGTCATCTGTTTATTAGTCAATTGCACATTTATATGTATTCCTTTTATAGTCACTTAACATTTAATTATTGTTGATTGATTGCTAAGTATTATTTGAAATTGTAGCATTAATTTACTTAGTAAGTATTTATTATAACTCATGATAATTGGATTGAACGCCTAATTCAATGACTGAAAGTCATTTATATTTGATAGTTGTATTTAATTAATTGTAATTAAATTAATAAACACCATTGTAGCACAAATAAAATATATATATATTTAATTTTTAATTATAATGTGAAAAAATAATTGATTTTGTAAAATTCATAAATTGTTGTCTTTTAGAATTAGTTATAATTTTGATTTATGTTGCAATTTATTTTTTGATATTGCTGCTACTCCAGTCCTGGAATCTCAGTAGATTTGTCTTTGATTGTTTAGATTTTTGTCTTAAATGTTAATTATTATAATATTGTAAATGATAAAATCGATGTTGAAATTTAAAATTTTAAACTTATTATGTATTACAATATATTTTTTTGACAATTATTTAATTTCAAATTTTTTTGGAAAATGCTAAATTTGGTTGGGGTATTGAAGAGCAAAAACCCCTACATTTTTTAAAACCAAAATCCTTGTCTGTCCTAACACATTAAAAATGTATGAATTACAATCAAAATAAATTGAAATTTTTTATATAATTAAATAATAGAAGTAAGATTACCGGACTGTTAATGTTTTGCTGAGAATATTATACAAAGAACAAAGTTTCATAATGCATTAACTGTATTGTAATAGTTTGAAATTATTATAATTATTAATTTTTTTTTTTAAATGCCCTGGGGCTTTATTATTTGCACGACCCAAAAGTCTTTATAAATATGTTTTTTCAATTATTGTATATATTTAACATACTAAATATAAATAATATATACTACACGTTGATGGAGTCGCTTCCGATGAAGGGACTCTTGCCTTAATCTAAAAATCTCTTAAACTAAGTCATATATAATTGGATGGCCAATGCATTAACTTGGTGATCTAGTCTTGTTTCATGTTTGCAGCAAACCTTTGGATTTCATTTGTTATTGTAGACAGCATCATATCACGATGAATAGCATTGTTTCTTTCAAACCGGTAGGCTGCAGTGATGGTTCAAAGGGTGATGTTTTGGCAGTATTGTATTAAATTGATGTTAGACTTATTGGTACAACTCCACAGTTGATTTCTGGAAATCCAGATTGATTTTATAATAGTTACATTTAGTAGACGTTTGTTTTCAATGGTTAATTTAGAATGGGGTCTGATTAACCAATTGAGTTTTCACATTTTTTCTTTAATCTGAAATTTTTTCTGACGTGGTGTTTCCAGTTTAGACGAGAGTCAAGGTGCATTCCAAGATATTTAGCTGAATTTTTTTGTGGGATTGGTGATTTGAAATTATTATAGTCATTTTTTTTTACTTATATTTTCAGGTTTCAACAGCAATGGTTATTAGTCTGTAGTCAGTTTTTTACAGTGAAAGAAGATACTGTTTTTGGAACACACATTTATGTGTATGTTAGCGACTAAGGCCACCACTACATCACACATAGTAAATTATTCTCAATGATACTTAACATAAAAATTACATATGAAATTTACTAGTATAAATTTTAAATAATCCAATATATATTTATATAAATTTGTATGCAGAAAAACTTTTTTTTAAGTATTAGATTAGCTATTTGTTAACAAAAATCAATAACAATGAATAAATATATATATTTTTTTTAAATTACCTGTCAATGTCAGGTTAGGTAAATTACAGGCCTAACAAGTCATGGAATATTTACTATTCAAAAATCTTTTAAAATGGATCAAAAAATGTAAGTTGAATATTTAACCACAAAATATATTAAATCAATTCTATAACCACATCTACCTAAATATAGTCTAGTCCACTAGGTAAAACGTGATAATGGGCCCTATCTCCATGCCGGATCAAAGTGCTAGAACAAATTTATAATGTGTAAAAGCTAATCAACTTCTACCATCTTAAGACTTTGCATGTTTCTTTTTCACTAGTAGGATGGAGTTTGCCCCATTGCTGCAAAGGATTTTATCTTATATTAAGCTACCTGTCAACATGAATTTGAAGTAAGATGAACACGAGAAGTAATAATATAAAAAATGTCAACTATTAAAAAGGAACTTGAGCTTTAATAATTATTATTTATTAATACATATTCTATATCAATATTGAACAAAATGTTAGTAGAATTTAACATTAATTAAAACCTTAATAATATAATTAATTCTTAACCATATATTATAACCATTTTATGAATATAAAGCTCTAAAATTTGGGCATTAATGTTCTTAAAATACAGTCTTTGTACGAAATTTATATCATTTTTGTTTTAAATAATCAAACATAATACACAAATTAATAAATATTTCAATATGTATAGGCAATTGTTGCCAACATTGAATGTCAACTAAATTCTAATTAGATAAATTGAAAAACACTTGTCAAACTGCACACAATTCTTGTTACTGTAGTATTTCAGCGTTTTCTTTCCACTTTTTGAGCTTTTTTCTTTTTAGCGTCTTTCTTCTCTTGTGCCAATTGCTTTTGTTTTTCTCTGTGAAATGAAATTTTGATCAAAATTAATATATTTGTTTTATTTTTTATTTTCAGTAATAATAATCATAAGATATATTTAATCAACTCTTTCAAAGCTTTTATCGACTGGCATGAGTTCAAATAACAAAAAGCACTATTATAATTTTATATCTTAATGTGATAATGAAATATAAATCAAAATTTTACCTGTCTTCTTTGTCTTTTTCCTTTTTACGTAAACTTTGTTCTTTAGCTCTTTCTCTCTGTTCTTTTTTTAAAGCTAATACAGAACTAGCATTAGTATTATGTTCTATGTCTAAATCGTCACTTTCTTCTTCTTCTGAATTTGCTTCTTTCTAACAAAATTAATATGTAATAATTTATACACATTTCACATTTTTATACTGTAGGTATGAAGATATTGTTGATCTAATAATTATGACAAGTCTAGATTTTTTAATACATAAAAAATTGAAATATAATATTTTTTCTTTGAAGAAACATACAAATCCTCATAAGTTTTTAAAAAGGTAAAAAAATTATGCGGAATTATTTAATTAATATCAAAATATGCAAATTTTTCATATCTTTGAAAAATTTAGAAATTAAAAACCATTAATAATTATAGAAACAGAACACAAATTCATTGTATTATAAATGAAAAATGTATTACTTTATCTTAATTTATTTTATTTTATTGATGACTAAATGATAGAATAAAATATTATAATAAGTATTTTTTTCAGAATTTAAAAAATATTTCAAAATATGATAAAGAAACTAACTCAATTTTTAATCTAAAAAAAAATGCATTTGTTAATTAATGACAAGTAACAATCTAAAATTCAGGACCCTAATCATGACATACCTGTGCATATTGACTTAAAATATTTTTTCTAATTTTAACTAAATCTGAATCTTCCTCATCTGAATTTAGTTTGTTGGTTTTATTGGGAATTGTCACAACAGTTCTTATATTGTTTTCTAACATTTTAACCAAAGCCTCTTCGGTGTCCTCTATGGGTATTTTGATTTCACTAGCACCACTGTCATTTTGTGTGTCATACATGTTAATTATTTCCATGCATTGGGTTTTCACTTCGTTCTCACTCTGTGGAAAGAATAGTAAAAATATGTTTATTCATATTGTTTAAATAATTTTTTTTATTTTTTTAGAATGAGAACTTTAAATATGTGGTTTACCTAAACAAGTATAATATTCAATCCACAATACAAATGTTATTATAATTTTATGAATTAAAAATCAAAATCGTTTACATGATTGTAATTAATAAACACCTATTGTACTTAAGTTAAACATATAAGTAGCTATATAGGTGTTATGAAACTACTTTACTTGCATTTTTAAAAAGGATAGTTATAATCTACCATACAAGTCAGAATTTAAACTAATTTACTATGATGCAATACTAAATTAACTAAAATGTTGTTACAATAGCATTGATTTTAGATACGTAAAACATTAACACTGAGACTTGGGAGATGAAAAAATAAAATAAGAATAGTGGTTTAAAATAACAAACAGGTAGGTGATACGAATATACGATAACCATAATCATGTAGATATCCCAGCTATATAGTAGAACATAAAAGAATCGGTAGACCACACACTAAAAGCATATTACGTTTTATAGTTTGATGACAAAATGGTGGTTGACCACACATTGGTTGACAGCCCTCATACGGTAGGATATGGTGCTTACCAATACTTCTCCGAGAATAGCCTCCAGTGCGCTTATTTTTTCGCATCGATCTTCTTCGCCATCCAACACGCTTTCGATGTAGTTCAAATATATCTCCTCGTCCAGCGCGAATTGTTTAAGTTTCGACGTCAACCACGCCGTTTTCGTGCACTGGGCCGACATGTCTTGAGGTCTGCTAACGAATCACGTGTGGAAACTGTAACAGAGCTTTGTCGGTCCTTTGACAATTCAACGACGGGCGACCGGAAGTGCTCGACTTTTGCGATGTGGCCAGATTTCTAACTCACAACACTCGTTCAGATCGAACAATTCCACAGGTCGAATAATTCAACGTTAAGATTAATATCTTCAGACGCGCGAAGTCTTTGATGAACTCCGAAGTTCGAACCCGTTGCTACTATCACGGTTCAAACGTCAACCATTATCAGTTATCACGATAATATATTATTATCACACCACGATGAGATAACGTCATAAATTCACGAACATAATATTATTATGGACATCCGACATAGTATTATTTCTATTATTTATTTATGTGTAGCTAGTAGCTACAGTTCGTGCTGTAAGTACCTTTAGTACCTATCTACCTAAAGATATTCTACCTTTTTACTTTTTTAATTTTCAGTATCTACCCCTGGAATGGTTGAATTGATCACAATTTGATTATGCGATGCAAACAAAATAATTTGTATGAAAAATACCTTATAAAACTATACAGGAACAATAATTGAATACGTAGCAGTGGCGAAGCCAGGGATGGGGCTGTGGGTGTTTCAGCCCCTCTCCACCCCTCCCCCGAAATTAAAGGATATTATTGGGATAAACTTTTGGGATGATACCGCATCGGCTCCCGGCAGGCACTAATGAGTCCGTATCGGCTCCGGGTATTTGACCATTTCTTCGGTTTAGTGGCCGTATTGCGTCCCATTTGTGAACGTAAGTCATATTATTAAAAGTTAACGTATTATTATTATTATTATTATTATTATATATACTTACATTGTAATTGTGGAGACGTCTACCCTTTGTTGATATTTGATTATTTATCATATCTTTAACGCGTATATTACATTTCTTGGTGTTGTTATTTCGAGCAATCGGCGTAGCATTAGTCTATGTATTTTATTATTACTCAGCCTGTGAGTGCGATCCAATGGAGCTAATTGTTCATTAAGAGCCCTTTTGGTGAACATATCTGTAGTCAGTCCTCAGCCTGTGAATGGGAAGGAAAATACTATTAATTGGGAGTCGGTGCGTCCATACCATTGGCATCTTAAGGGAGCCGATACGGCCACCTTCAAATGAATAGTGGAGTCAAAGCGGACAAATGGGAGCCATTGCGGATACTCCGAAACTTTTTTTATCTGATGATCTATATTTTTCATAAAATTTATTATAGAAACGCACTATTACTGTAAGTCTTATGAGGATTTTATAAGTTTACAAACATAGAAATTAGTAGACATTACATGGCAAATTTATATTAATAAAACCAATTTTGTGTATTGACTTACTAAAATTAAAAGTGAAAACGTAAAAAGTTATCTGTAATCAGACCATGGATTTAAATTTTTAAGAGTTTACGTTGGACACTTAATCGTAGACTATTGCACTACTACCTATACGTAGTGCGTCAATTGCACTTGTTTCGCATAGATAACGTATCTATTGCCCTAGTAGGCACATAACGACATATCAAAAAATATTTAAATCGGTCATATATTTACATGTCATAGTGCCACGCTGTGTCACTATTAAACAGTCGGTTAAAGTGTTTTAATTCTTATGTAGGGCATTGTAGGCCAGAGGCCCGAAGCACAGAAGTATTTTCATACCCCTTCGTCCCTCGTGGGCTGTAGATGCTTCCGCTGGGCAAGCTTGCAAATGAGTCCTGACTTTCGTTTTCGTTTCTCTTTCTTCTGCCACTATTTTAAAATTTTTGAACGGAATAGTCGCCTGTCATGAAGTTTGATCAAGTGTGTTTGATGCTAATTATTATTTTTCTGTAGTCTCTAAAGTTTACACTGTACACGTCGCGGATAATTTTAGGCCACTGACCGTGCACCGTATTACAAGTCCCAAGTGTACCTACCTATAGTGTATCCGTGGCAAGTGTATCTATCTATTTGAAGTATACCTATACTGTATGCTTTTTACTGATTCACGTACTACATACACGGTTCAAGTGTAATGTGCACAATTTACTCTTGGAAAGTTGATGGTATATTTCTAGCATTTATACATGTAGTGTCCTTCTATCAAATAAGTATACAAAGTGCCAATGGCGAAGTAAGGCCGTAATAGAATACAGACGTACAGTATTCAGGTATATTCTTGTTAAAGATACACTGTACGCTGACACTGGTACTGGGTACACATTGCAAAGGTACTATTTCGCCATTATAGGTTCTTAAAATAAATAGTTTATCCGAAATGGCTCGTATCTATAGCTGGACAAAAAAAGAAAAGAGAATATGCAATAAACAATAATTTATTATCTTTAGTGGTTTCCTTCAATATTTAAATTTTCTAGAACATTTTTAACAATTATCATTAACACACGCTTAATAGGTATTACACCTAGCCCTATGTACCTAAAAAAATTAAGGTCGTAAACCAAATTTAAGTCTAGCTATCAGTCATAGGTATTTGTGGAATATTGATTTTAGTCGTTTGAGGGAAAATTGGTTCGTGTGTAATTCTTGGGGTTTAAAAATATTAAACATACTTATTAATCTATGGAAAAGCAAAAAAAAAAAAAAATTATTTGTTAATTAATTCAACGCAATTTATAAGCAACTCATATAAAGATAAACATAATTTTAGTCGTGAATAATTATTATACTCTTGTACCATTGCTAATAAAATAAAAGTAAAAGCTTAGTATATTTATATAAATTTAAAGTTTGAATTTTTTTTTTTATAAAGCGTGCCCGTATATTTAAATTTAATAATAAATAAATTACGAGATTAACTTCTTATATTAAAATATAAAACATCAGAAACAAGTTAAATTTTACATTTACCATTAAGGCTCTACCAAATAAAACACGTTATTAACGTAATCGCATGGTTTTGTAATGTTGTACAACATCGCGTTCTAGCGCCACTGACGAGTCATGTTAGACAGCCAATATGATTTGTAATTGAATACAACACGACGTTAATACTGTTTTTGATGTTTTTATGCGCGTGAATAATGCGTTCTGTTTGATAGAGTCTTTGTAATAACCATCACTTATTATATTTCAGTATACAACATTAATTTTAACCGTTGGATGTTGATGAATTTTTATAATAGTTATTTTATTTTACAAATTAAAATTAAAAATGGCAATGTCTCGATAACATAATATATCTACAGATCTATAGGTAAATACCTATGCTTATAATTATTATTATTATTCATTTATAAATCATAATCATTATATTATAATATAACTATAATTTTACTCTTATAAAATGTAATTATATTAGAGGATATTTATAAGTATACCCTCAATTTGTATTACAGTTATTTATTTTAAAAAAACGGTATAAGTTATTAAGTTAATAATTAACTATTAAGTGATAATTCACAGCTCAATGGTGTGGCGGTTGTGGAAAGGGTGCATGAGTGGCTGTAGACTGTGTTGAATTTATGCCAATTTTCACCTATATATGCGGACTCTAATACCCAATGAAACACTCATCTCTGTAGTGGTATATTATCTAGCGTTTAATTATTAACTTCAGTATAGTAATGCAGTTTCAAGCGCTGTCAACATGCAGACCATGCGCTTTAAATAAAATGTCATCCCCGATGTTTCAATAATTAGCATCTGCTTGCAGACGACGTTGTGCCGTTGTATATAATTTAGGTACCTATCACATATACTCACACACACAATACATATATATATATATTTATGTACCTATTAATAGTAGTGGTGCAGGCAGTATGATAAAAAAATTAAAAAAATGCTCGTCGGAACACCCAAGATGACGCGATGCGCGTCAACGATTCTATTTTAAACGAGTGTGTACCTAATTTCTTTTTTCTCTCTTTTATTCTATGAAGAAGATACGTTCAATTTAAAAGGAACAAAGAGATAATTGAAACGAGGGAGGACGAAATCGTAGATACATTTTAAACAATGGTTTTAAAAATAAGTCTCATTCATTCCTCGCTGGGTGAAGCGTTCGTCGTCGTTGTGCGAACGCGTATATAGTGCGATATACTCGTCCGCCGTTTGCCAAACGAATGAAAGAACAGAAAAAAAAAAAGAAAAAAAAAGAAAGAATTTCGCCGGCCTATAGGTCGGACAATCTGCAGTGCAATTCATTTTCTATTTCGGGTGCGGGGAATCTCAAGTGCACCTAAAGTATTTTATTTGTCGATTTTTTTTTTTTTTTTGGCAAGATTCCCAAACGGAAACCAAATTTTTAAAAGGTATGCACTTTGTATACACACAAACATGCACGCGCACGGTCCGCAATGACCTTTTGACGAAAATGCGAAACGTGATATTTTACGTACGCACATATTATTATTATACGACACAGTCGGTTGCGTATATCGTGATAATATGTAAATGGATGATGGCCACATGGATACACAACGCGGTTTTTTCTCTTGTTCACTGCAAGGTACCTCAGGTATCTGCAAAACACTGTACATCGGGGTTGACGAACGCACGTTGTGAACTATACGCAAAAAATATGTGCAATGCATAGTTATATACGAGTGCGTATAGAACTACAATATTGAACTATTCAAGTAATATTTATGCTCGTCGACTATGTGCCAGTAACGAACACAAAGCTTTTTTTGGGGGGTTTTGGTCATTATATTTTTATTTCGTCTTTAATGCATAAAAAAAAAAAAAAAATGTTTTTGCTATGACATCGCTATAATTACTATAATCATCCTCGCTCACATTTGTTACCATCACTTCCTTATATTATCTGATCGGAATGTCAATTGACACCTCGGTAGCCGTTTGTGTGTGCACTGCTATATTATATACATAGTACTATAGTAGCTACGGCACTACATAACGATATACCAAGAGGGATAGACTATAAATCGGACCTGGGAAATTGGAATCATCAGCTCAATCCGTGTGCAGTTATTACAAAATATCACATAAAATAGGTATTTATTTATTGTTTTTGATTTTTGTAGGGTTCACTGTTGCATTTGTTTCCAAATCAAGTCTTACGTTCATCGGATAAACAATTTAACTCACGAAACCTACGAGATCCACAATATTATAGTAGTCTCTTTCAATAAAACTTAATTATTGCAGGAAATATCCAATATTCGCCTCAATATCATCAGTATGATTATTGTATCGATATTTGTATAATTTGTATAATCTATATGAAAATATAGTCATAGCGGTTGTCGTTGGAAATTAAAATACAAAACACAAATTTACAATAAAATAATATTGAAAAAAAAAAAAACTATCTTTTTTCTTAATATGGCATTCTTTACTATACACATACAATAGTTATACAATAGTAAAATATTTACAAAAAAAATTTTCCACGTGAAAACACTCGTTTTACAGGTATAAATATATTATTATTATTATCATCATATTATATCAATATACATAATAAATCATAACATTTTGCATATTAATTTTATATCAATTTTACATAAACATAATTTATATAATATTACAATATATTATTATTACATACGACCAGATTATTAAAAACCATCTATTATGGGATTTACGTTTGACGCAAAATAACTATTGGCCGAGTTGTAAAACAAGTACAGACTACGAAATTGTATGCGAAATTTAACATTTTATATATTATATATAGAATAATAATAAAAAAATTCATCGTAAATTCATAACTAGATATTATATATTATACACAATTTACACACTCTTTAATATATATATATATATATTACCTAAATAATTGTATTATAGAATATACTCTAAGAAAGAAATGCAGCTTGGTCAGCATTCTTCTATACTCATGTACTTATAATACAGTTATCATTAGGAATATCATTTTTCTACAAATTATAATTGCATCTATAATAAAAATTTCAGACAGATTTTTGTAACGTGAACACCGTAACACTATACGTCTATACTAATAATCTAGTGATTAGAATACAACCTGCAGGATTATTTGTCTATCATAATCATTACAGTAAGAAGTAACACGTATAAAATAATAGCTCTGATATCCATTTATTAACTACCTATTCAATTTACATATTATAATCTATTCGCATAATTTGAAATATAGAAAAATTTATTTCATAGGTAAGTTATTATTACACATAATATTGTAGTTATATGCGTAGGTAAAATAATATGTCAACTTAGGTTTTGAGTGTTTATAAGTTAGATATTAAGTTAGTGATACAAAATAAGAATTTATGCTCGACTTTCTACTAATTGATTTAAAAAAATTTTAAAAATCAATTTGTAGTGATTGTTACGACGTTGAGATGTCCTCTACGCATCCGTTTTTGTCACGCTTATATTATGTTGATTTAATATCATGTAAATTGTATAGCATCTGTATACATAATGAATTGGCGCGGTCGAATCATATTTGGTTGACAGGTGGGATTGGGGGAGGAGGTTACAGCCGTTATATTACAGTCATCATCCCTTGCAGTAGCATCACTGATGTTATTATGTATATCTGACGTCATCATAATATTGCTGTAATTGGGTGATATATTTTTTTTTTTTTTTTATTTTCACATTCCGCAAAATTTTATTTATATTACAATTGAACGGGCGGATAACAGGTAGATCGTTGCATATTATTTATACGTAGTTTTGTTATAATAGGTATTAAAAACGTATTATGATAGCATTTACAGTAAAATAAAACAGTTTAATGATAAAGATTTATTTTGATAACCGAATAAAAAAATAATTAAAAATTCTATACCCTATGTTTAACGGTAACATGTAAAACAAAAATAAAACCAATCATTGAATATAGCCTATATAGACAAAACAAACTTTAAAATAATTATAATATGAATTTGACGAGGTGTAGCCATAACCATCGTCTTGATCAATTTAACTAGACATGCCACTTAAACAATAAAACATTCGAAAATCTTGAAAATCAATTAAAACGTGTATGTATATTGTATTTTAGGAGATATATTGTTGAATACTGCAAGACGCGTGCAGCGATGTAACGTAAATTATAATTATTATGTTTTTTACGGCGTGTGTCTTGTGCGACATGCGAACACACGTAGTGTTGTATTATGTGTAGATATACAGTATAAGAGAAACGGCGTGTTTAGTTAAGGTGATATAGGTAATAACTAATAAGTTATGGTTTCAAACGTGTTAATATAATTTAATAATAAATATTATACATTAATGCGCAATAATGTCATAGCATAAGTAAGAAAGAAAAAAAGAAAAAGTCTGCAAAGAAAACAAAACAATAACCTAAACAATAATATTATCGTACTATGACTCAAAAACGTTTATTATTATTATTATTATTATTTTCACAGGGCGTTGTATTTATTTTAGTCGTGTATCAGTGTATATTTTTTTTATTTTCGGTTGGTTCGATATTGGTACCTATATATACGTATAGCTCATAAGCATTAATTGTACATGCTATGTATATGTATATTATGTGCATATATTATAATTAGGTATAGGTATTTACAGTCGTGAGTTTGACTACAGTTAATATAATAAAAATAATAGGCATAGTGTAATAATAATAAAATAAAAATTGTCCTCATGGGATTTTTCATCACGCGTGACCCGAGAAAAAAAATGTCTTTTACGGTACAAAATCGTAATATTTATTGCAACTCTCCCGGTCGTCTAAGTAACGTGTAGGTATAATAAAACGCACTTAGAGCCTAATTTTTAAGGATAATAAAAATAATAAAAATAATAATAATAATAATAATAATAATAATGATAAAAACAATAAAAACAAACGAAAAAAAAAGGATATAATAATAATAAAACGCATATAGGTAATATATCATAATAATAATAATAATAATAATAATAATAAAATATATTATAATAATCGCGCGATGCCGCGGTATACAAAACGGGTCATCGCGCGTCGAACACGTTACTCGTCTGCAGGTCGTACGCGCCGACCGAACGAGTGTGTATGCGAATCATCGTCGTTTTTATGACGACGACAACACGGTCGGCGGCGACACGACGAGACGGTGGCGGCGATGGTGGTGGATCTTCTCTCGGCGCGCGCAAATAGGTGACGGGCACGCGTCCGGCACCCGGCGGTGATGGCTCGGCGTTCCCGCGTCCCGGCCGCGCGAAAACACAACACCATCGTGTATTGATATAAATACTTTGTAGCGCGTCGTCGCGTCGTCGAAGGTGACGCGCGGCCGCGGACACGTCGCACCGTTTACCCGCGTGGCGATAAAATATATTTCATTTTACCGGGCGATCGGCCGAAGGCGTTTGAAAACAGGCGGCGGCGCGGCATCACAACGGGGCGGGCGTGCCCGTCATCTGCCTCCAGACGGAGTGTCACATGGAGTTTATGTACGGCCAGCTGAAGCTGCTGCCGCTGAGCAGCATGTCCCGGATGAGCGTCTCGATGGGCGTCTTGCCCACCAGCCGGACGAAGAAGAGCTGCTCGATGACCTGCGAGCTGACCGTGCGCAGGGACGGCAGCCTGAGCAGGAGCTTGCCGAACCGGATCGGCTGGTTGGGGTACTGCGTCCGGCAGTACTCCTCCAGCGCGCACTGAGACTTCTCCTGCAGCGACTCGATGTGCGCCACGTCCGACAGTCCGCACGCGTCTGTAAAACAAACGGGAAACACGAATGTTGAAAACGTTCTATATTATAGTGTCGTGTGAGTGCGGTGAGTTTCGATAATCTGCAGTTTTTGCGACGAGATCCCATTTTTTTTAACATATTTTTTTTTTTCATATAAAGTATTATTAACCTAATAAATATGCCCGTTTAAAAAAGAAAAATCCTGTCCAGAGCGATAACTACCCCCTCTCCGAATACGTTTCCGCGTTGTCAAGACGTAAGTCTTGTAAAATATTCTGCGGTCAATCACGAGATCGACACGGTCGGACAAATACAATTAACTCGCTGTTTAGCCAAGTAAATTATGCGTTTTGGGTGGCTACTATATACCTATACCTATACACAATTTAAAGTTAGGATAGTTCGATTCGGATGAATTCGATTACTATTTCATTAGGTACAATCCATATATCGTGTTAAAATTTAATAATAATATTGCACATTAGAGTTTGGCGAAAATATATTATTATCTCATATCGTACTGTCAAAGGGCGTCGAAAGTGTGGCGATGGAGAGGTCTAAGACGCTAAGTCGATGTATAGACGCGACGGGAGATTCAAATATTATCATCATAAATAATAGACGATGGATGATTATAAGAGCGCTTTTTAAAAAAAAAAAAAACATCAAATATTAACGGTTTTTAGACTGAGATATTACATTCTATATTTCTTCGTAATACATGAGACGGAAACAAACAAAAAAAAAAAAAAAAGTCTGAGACTAATCCGAAGCGTACTCTGCTGTAATACTATTTGAGTTTTATTTTATTAGCTTATTGGCGACTTTTGAGCTCGACCCGACTGTTATATTTTCGATCGACAACCTAACCGTGCGGCAGCAATACGCGGTTAATCCCCGCTGAGGAAAAAGCTGCAGCGTGCGTATTGTGCCTATAAACTCGCACACAATAATAATTTTTTATTAAAATAATAATACGACACGCACCACTGTTTGTTTAAAAATGAACTCGTCCGGGTTGACACGCCACCCCCGCAGAGTTCGTAGCCGCGAGCGCGTTATAAATATATATATAATATTTTAATTTTTAGTTCAGCGTGCAGTTTTGTTTTTTCGGTTTTCGATCACCACGCGGTGACCTCGCACGCGAGGGATGATTCTATAATTAGGCCCCGCCGTTGCAATCCGCATTAGCATAAGAGGGACGCGAGTGCGCGATTGTGTCGTATATGCATATGTATACGGCGAAAGCGTTATAATAATATTTGCCCTTTCAACTGGCCCGCCGCGCGTCATCCCCGCGGTGTACATGTCGTCGTCGTCGCCGCCGGTCTTAAAACGCCGAAAACCCGTGTGCGTCGAGCGATTCGAACTCTTCCCCTCGCAAAAAAAAAAAAAAAAAAATGCTAACCCCGAAAACGCCGATTTCCACACGAAACGTCACGGTCGTCATCGTCGAGCATATTATACGATATTCTAGATATTGTATAGAATATAAATCATGTATTATATGTATACAAAAAAAGTGCATATATGTTTTGTTCTCCTCTCGCGCGGGGTCGACTATGATCTTTGGTAACCGCGTCTATCAGGTCCATTTTCTCGTAAGTTAATGTCTATTCAATGGGTAATAATATAATAGTATAGACTTGGAAAAACAACCCGCCGAAACGCGCAGCTGCACTGAAACGGTATTTTTATCGAATCGCATGACATTACCTCGGTAGTCGTATTTCGTCGGAAATTTATCATCTCTCTACTCGCGGTATCCCGCGATACCGCGGTGCTGGTAATACGTAAATACTTTATGACAAAGTCTACACTTCAATGTTAAACCGTTGCAGTTGCTATATTGTTGGTCGTCTATGGGCACCTAATGGGCCGTTTGACCTCGGCGGGCGGCCAGGCCAGCCCACAGTGCCGCTGCAGCGGAACGGTACCCACTCGCACAAATATTTCGTATCCATCACAATAATATTATATTAATATGCGCTTAGCGGTCGTATTAGACGCGACGATAGCTGATGACGTAACGCGTAGTTTATTTAAATTAATAACGCGTGCTGGGCGTGATCTCTTCTGTTGACTGTTTCCATTCGATCGCGTCGAGGTATTACTTTTTTACTCTTACCGCGGTCTCGCGTCTCGATACTCTTTATATATACGTGTTATTATTAAATACCTACGTCGTGCATGCCGCCACTATGACATCGTCGCGTTCGTTGGTAGTGTTTTTTTAGCTTCTTCTTCTGTTTTAATTGTCACCGTACACGCGCGCGTGTTATTATCTCGTATTATATATTTCATGTTTGTTATTCGAGAAAATGACTCGCCGCGGCAATTGTTGCTGCAGCGCGTACACGTATACGCGCGGCGCAGGGGGGCCCATTAATTATTGTAGGGCAGAGGAACGAAAACGTTACATTTAACGCAATATACGGCAATCGCGACGAAGACGTTCGTGTATACGTGTATGATGGTTTTTTTTTTTATCATCGTACGCGGTTTAGTACGCCGGAAAAATAAGAGCACATCATCGCGTCATGCGGCCTCGCGTTTCGTCAATCAGACACCGCCGCCGCCGCGGCGTTCAGTATAAAAAAGTAATAATACTATAAACTTGTGCATTTGTGTGCGTGTGGTGTAGAGGTCGTTTTGCCGGCGCAGTATTGACCGCAGACAACGCAAATATTACTATAAATTGTTGCAATTTTTTACGTTCACGCCGAACACGTCTCATTACTCCACGCGAGTGTGCGTTGTGTATACCTATGTATAGTGCAAATATTAATTGTTCGTCATATAGCTAAGAAATCGAGACTGGGTAACTGCGACAACGCTAGCAGAATTTTATACGGAAATCGCGATTACGCGAATATTAATAACAATCGAATCGCGCTCGTCGCCGTGCGTGTATATTAAAATATTACTATCGCGCTGGGGTAGGAAAAACGGGGTCGTCTCGGAAACGGCGTATACCAAAGGCGCGCGCTGTTTTCGTCGCGGGCTGTCACGATTAGTTTTTTGTTTTCCGTCCCCTATCTATATTATACGCATTCAATACATACACGACCCGCTGGCGGTGCAGATCTGCACCCCTCCGCTGACTACCACTGCAACCTCCAAATTCGGTCGTGCGGTCAACCGCACCGGCTACACGCGGCCACGCAACTCCTCATCCACCCAAAACTGATGTAATAATATAATACTCGTCGCCGCCGTTATTATATTTCTAGATATCGTACGATAACGCAAATGTCGTTCGCCCCAAGTGTACGACCTATGCGACGCAGCACCATGCACGAAAAACTGTTTTTATTAAACGTCAAATCGCGACGATGGTTAGATAGAGAGTAAAAGAGAGAAGGAGAGATGGAGCGAAAGTTTGAGTGTGTGTGCATGTGTGTGTCCCCCTTTGCGCGTTTTTATTATTTGGTTTATTTTTTTCGGTTACGGCGATTTTTCACGTCACGGGGAAATTTTGCGCGGTCGTCCGCACGACATAATATATATTATATAATGAAAACATAAAAACCATCTGGGGAAGAAAGAGCGTTTGATATAAAAATATTATATAAATAATAATAGTAGTCACCACCGTTGTCAGTTGCGGGGGTAGGTCGAGCCCTGGGTTATTTTTCGTATAATGTATATTTATAAATATATATATATATATATATATGTATATAGTCATTGGCTTTTCGACTCTTTGTCAATTAGGTAGGCGATGAAGGCGTAACAGACTCGAGGGAATGGTGGGCAAAAGTTTCAAGACTATATCGTAATGTAAGAGGTATATATATATATATATATATATATAGGTACCAAAGTCGGCGAGAGTGTTTTAAGCTAATTGCGAAATGAGAATAAAAACAATACACCGCGAAAGAGGAAACCCGTGCAATTTCGCGTGTTTATATATATCTATACGTATTGTATACCGCGTGAGAAGGGTCGTTGTATATTATGTATATTATTACTGTTATTATTAAAATATAATTCGAAAGGCGCGAAAACCCGCGGCAAAGTTCAAAACTCGGCCGGTCGCGGCGAATAACTATTCGCCGCGCAAGGTGACGTCGTCGGTATTGCGCTATCCGCGTGCGGCTAATAACCCGAAATGCGATTTGCATAAACATTAAAACAAAAACTTTGCCTGGGGAGGTTTTTTTTCGGAATTGAATTAATCAATTGACGCCACCGCGACAGCAGTATAGTAGTTAGTAGTTACGGTGTTGTAGTCGTCGGGAATAAGCTGCTGCAATGTACGTCTCGTCGGCGACTATGGCTGTTTAGGCTGCCAGAAGACGTTCACTAGTATGTATACCCCATCAGCACTTGGCAACGAGCCCTTAAACATGCCGGCCGTATGTGTACGATACGGGATTTTGCCACCGGCTCGGAGCTTACACGGCTAAGGCGTGGTGTTTGTCCGAGGGCGAGTCCCTTTTCTCCGCACTACACCGGCCAACGATTTGTTCTGTACGATAACCCTGCCACACACTAAACTTACTATAACACATACGTAAAGCTCATTTGCGGATCGCGTAAAGTTTTCACCGAAACGATTGCCACTGGAGCGTCATATATGGGTATTGTATAATACTATAATTTAATAAAAAATAGTGTAAATGCGTGACGTATGTATGAGCGGATCGTGTAGGCACATAGATATATAGTGGTGTATTTTAGAAATTTTTCTGGTTATCGATAAAAATTGATTTATTATAATCACTTCATAAAAATAAAACAGCTGAGGAAATTAATCAATTAAAATGGAGTATAGAACAGTTATAAGTCGCGGTAAGATCTGCAGATATCGGGTATTTGTGTTGTATTATGAATATTATGATATGCTGCCAATAGAATTTTTTAATACAGTTTTAATTATCTGCGTTTAGATTATTTGATACCTAAAATGATAAGATATTACCAACTAAATTAAAATATTGTGATTGTGTAGTAGGCCATAATGTGTGATTAGTAGTAGTGCGATTATTAATTTTTGACATTTGTCAAAA